AATGCAGAGATGTGAATGGTGACACCAATTACCTCTGTCCCAGTCCCTCAGGAGGTGAAGTGTCCTTCCCTGGGGCCCACTAGTTGGTGAGGCCTGAAAGACATTGGTATACACTCCTAGAGATTCTTGAAAATGTTGAGAAGGGACCCAGTGAAACAAAAAAGGCTTCCTCTTCATCAGCAAGGGGAGAACAGCATGGAGAGTTCTCTTTCCTCTAAATATGACCTATCTGGTTTGTTTTCATGAATTGGCTAGGCCAGAACTTAGTCATCGCAGATATGTATGTGTGTATGTACATATGTAATATATGTATCAGTGTATGTGTCTATTTGAATTTTCAAAAGAACCCTGCACAGTAATAGCTCTGTTTCACAGGGGATACACCCGGACTGCGAGAGGTTACGCCGCTTGCCCCGGTTTGCACAGCTGAAATGCAGCAGAGCCAGTCTTAAATCCAGACCTGCTTGATTCCAAAGCTTTTGCTAAGTGGCTAAAAATTTTAAGTCCTTACTGGGGAAAAAAAAATCTCAAATAAATACAAAGTAGACAGAATAGATTAACCTTTGTGTGTAATTATTTAGATTCAACAATATTCAACCTATGCCCGATCTTGTTTCGCCCATTCTGTCACCCACCAAACCCACCCCCTGCATTGTTTTGAAGCAAATACCAGATATCACAAACCTTTCTTCCATAAATATTTCAGGTTGAATATCTAAAAGAGAAGGACTGGAAATAATTAACTTCCTTATTTCCTCTTACACTAAAATATCCAAAATAAGTTAATTTTCCTGTGTCAGTAAAGTTCCTCTATTCTCCCCAAGAATGTCCCAAACTGGGCCCCAAATGATGGGACACTCTTTTTGAGATATTAATCTTGTTAGAGTCCTTTGCTCACCCAAAGATCCTCTTATGAAGACTGATGTTCACTTTTATCTCACACTCTGCTTCCTGCATAAGAGGCTAAAATACAGCTTCCTCTTTGAATATTGGAGAGCAATGAAAAATAAACCTCAAGGTCTCAGGGACACAAGTGCAAAGATAGGCGTCAGCCATCAATAGAGCAAGGTTATCAATTCAACAAATTCATTGAGTGTTCACTTTCAATGCCTTCAGTGGACCCTAAAGGGAGTATAAAAATATGTAAGTAAATGGGCATTCAACAACTATTAATGGGGAAGCTACTGCCCACCAAATTCATGCAGGGAGCTAAGATGCACATGGTTTAATGGCCCAACAAGGGCACTCTCCACCAAGCTGACGACCTACAACAGGAATAAATACAGGAAAACAAAAAATTACCGGAATATAGGTGACAATGAGGAGAGAACAAAGAGTTCCTGGGGTCTAAAAGAACTTATATTTTCCTGAGTGGGACAGTTGGGAAATGAGGAAACTGAGGCCTGAAAGACATGGCTTTTTCATAGTTACACAGAAACAGAACCAGGGAAAAACCTGGTCTCTTAACTTCTAATGCATTATGATTTCCCCCGCAAGAAGGACTAGAGGTGCTTGGCTGTGAAGATTTCTTGCTACCACAAGGGAGGATTTGTGATACCATTGGTTTATGAAATGGGCCTTCTTGACAGTCAAATAGAATTTGAGAAATGGAGACATGGTCAGTGTTTCTGGGTAAAGAGCATAAACAGGTGTGTGTGATATATTCTGACAATGCCCACGGCCTGGTTTGCCTGACATGTAGGGACAAACATAAGGCAATGATGAGGACGGGATGGAACGGTAGGTTGCGACCAGATAAGAGAGGGGCTCAAAACCAGGTTGAATTTTTTGTTAGGAAGGCTCTCAAGAATAACAAAAATTCTATAGTTTGCAGCTAAAGAGTTACGAAAACACCATGATTTATGGGTCAGTGAGATGAACACAGATTATGACTTTTATCATTTTTATCGATTTGATTCTAATTTCTTATACTTCTTAATGAGAATGCTTAGACAAGCATTTTCTAAGGAGCGCTTGCTATTTAAGAGATGGGCGTGGGGACATGCAGGGGTGAGAGGTGGGGATTTATTCAAGGGACAGGCGTGAGGAAGTGAAATGTGCAGTGAGCAGCTGCGTGGGTCAGAAACCTGGAAAAGGAATGGTGAGACCTGGTGACAAAAGCCACAAGGTGCAGCCTAGTCCCTGGGACTGTAGAAGAAATGTCCCAGAAGACAACATGAAAACCTTCAGGGAAGCTATACCCCCCCCACCACCAGGAACATTTTTGTTGTTGTTGTTAATCCTCATGTGAGGATATTTTTTCATTGATTTTTTTTAGGCAGAGTGGAGGGAGGGGTGGGTGAGGAGAGAGAGAGAATAACATCAATGTGAAAGAGACACATCAATTGGTTACCTCGATTGGTCGCCTCCTGCAAGAGCCCAGTGGGGGCTGGGGATCTAACTTGCAACCCAGGTATGTGCCCTTGACCAGGAATTAAACCCAAGACCCTTTGGTCCATGGGCCAATGCACTAACTGCTGAGCCAAACTAGCAAGGGTCCCCCAGGAGCATTTGCACCAGTTTCTATTATGATCTCTGTTAGCGTCTATTTCTTAATGGGTGTTGATATCATAGACAAAACAACTCAGTCACATATTCTAATGAGAGTGGATTAGGAGGCCTTTTAGATACATAAACCAGAATATTTCTTAACCAAGAAAACTACTTTCAAGGTTACTCTGGGTAATTATAATGCCTAAATTCGGCATTCTAAGAGGGGCAGTGAGAAAGCCTTATCCTTTGAAACTAGACAAACTTGAATTTGAATCCCATGTTTTCAATTTACTAGTAGAATAATCTCAGATAAGTTATTTAACCTCTCTGAACTTCACTGTGTCATCTGTAAAAGTGAAGAATACCTACCATCAGCACTGGGCAGAGGATCAAAAACATGGCACCTGGAGATGCTTCCTACAAAGTACCTGGTACACAACTGATGTTTGTTTCTTCCTCCTCCTTGGTGAAACCAGTACCAGATGAAGGAGAAATTACTAATAAACAAACATCCTGTAAGCTTCCCAAATATCTCGTAAGCTTTCAAGTTCAACTTCCTTTATTAAAACTTTACAGGGACTGCTAAGTAATAGCAAAGTAGATTCGTTTCCTTTTTCTTTCCTTTTTTTAGCTACTCAATAGGACAGTACTAAGGAAAAGAATAATGTCAGATACATACACTTAAAAGGGAAGAATGAGAACAACTTAGATAACTTAGTAGTAAAAAGAAAAATAACCCCCTTTTTTAAATGAGCAAAAGATCTGGGTAGCCATATCTCTAAAGAAGCACACAGATGCCCAAAAAGTACATAAAAAGATGATCAACGTCACTTGTCATTAGAGAAATGGCTATAAAAACCACAATGAGATACCACTTCACACCCACTAAGATGGCTATAATAAAAAGAAACACAGACAAGTGTTGACAAGGATGTGGAGAAAATTAGAATCCTTATACGTTACTGTTGGGAATGTAAAATGGTGTAGCCACGTTTTGCAGTTCCTCAAAATGTTAAACAGAGTTATCATATGATGCAGCAATTCCACTCCCTGATATATACTCCTAAACAACTGAAAACATGTTTACACAAAAACATATACACTAATGTTCATAGCAGCATTATTCACAATAGCCAAAACAGTAGAAACAATCCAAATGTCCATCAACTGATGAATGAGTAACAAAAAGTGCTCTATCCATACAATGAACTATTATTCAATTAAAGAAAAATAACAAAATACTTATAGATGAACCATGAAAACATTATGCTAAATGAAGGAAGCCAGGCACAAAGGTCACATTGCATGATTCCTTTAAAATGAGATCTCCAGAACAGGCAAATCTAGAGAGACAAAGTAGATGAGAGGTTGCCTAAGGATAGGGGTTGGGGGGTTGGGAGTGGGAGGAATAGAGATAGACTGGGTATAAGGTTTCTTTTGGGGATAGTCAATATTTTAAAATTGATTGTGGTGATGGTTACACAACGCTGTGAATATATTTAAAAGTATTTAATTGAATAATTTAAATTGATGAATTGTTGGGTATATAAAAAGAAAGAATGATGGATTATCAGATCCTGAAACGGAACTGTCTGCTCCATTCCACCGAGAAGCCCCTGAGGCTCAGGCTCAGACTGTAGACCAAGGAATGAGCTCAAGATACATCCTCACGAGCTGAGGTGTTTGCCTAAGTGACCTCGGTGCTTCAGTGCTGTTTTCCTCTGGGGTGGAGAAGCACCATTAGGACTTCACTGCAGCAAATATGATATTCTCTGGGAATTGCCCTATTTGATGACATTTCACAAGTTACCAGCACCTCAGAAACCTAGCCTTGAGCTCAGCTCTTAGAGAGCCAGTCAATGGGATCTGAGACTTCTTACGGTCATTAGCAAATTTAAGTCGCAAACCGGCCTGCCTCACGAACACAAAGTTCAGCCCACTTCATCAAATCTTCCTTGGATTACATATTCTTGAGTTTATACTACAGAGAGCGCAGAAAAACCCCAAATGACTGAAATTTAATTTCCTGCCATCCAAGGTTGACCATTTCTTATGCATTTGAGTTTTGTGGTACGACTCATACTTGCTACAAGAGTATCCATAGGCCCTGGCCGGTTTGGCTCAGCGGTTAGAGCGTCGGCCTGCGGTCCAGAGAGACCCGGGTTCGGTTCCCGCTAAGGGCACGTACCTCGGTTGCAGTTTGTCCCCGGCCCTGGTTGGGTCGTGCGGGTGGCAACCACTCGATGTGTCCCTTTCACGTCGATGTTTCTCTCTCTCTCTCTCTCTCTCTCCCTCCCACTCTATCTGAACAACAAAAAAAAGAGTATCCATAGTACACTTGATCCTTGAACAACGTGGGGACTAGGAGCACATGCCCCACACACAGATGGAGATACTCATATAACTTGAGTCACCAGTATTTACACACACAAAAAAAGAATAGCTATAGAAAAGGACCAGGATATGGTAGTCCTAAAAATGAAGTTAAAACATCGTCCAATACTCACTTCCATACTTAGGTCATCATTCAACCCGATGCAACCGGGAAGCTCTGTTCCTGCAGGGGGGCCAATTGCAGGGCCTGGGAACCTGGCAATAGAAGGTACAGTTCCGTACTACATGTGGGAAAATTGCAAATTTCAGCAGATACCAAACTATAATATGGTTCCCCTCCCCTGCCCATTTTACCAAATTCCTAATTAAGTTCTGTGGGTTCACGGATTAAATAAGGCATAATGAAGGAGGGCTGTAACTGTGGTTAGAGAGAGGCTACAAACCACAGAGAATCTAGCCAAAAGGAAAATGAAGAATTTGCAATTCAAAGTCTTGCTTCCTCACACTCATACAGAACCGGAATGTCATACAGGTGGACCGTGTTCATAAACTCCTCTGACATTTCTGAGCTTTTCTTAGGGAACATGAGTCTGTTTGCCGAGAAAGGGGAGTGCAGGTGAGCTTCAGGGGAGGGGGGGGGGGAGGACGGGGTGGGCTCCCAGAGGCTCGAGAACCCTGAGTGGGAAGGAATCAATATATGGTCAAAACCGATCTGAATCAGTTAACTTAGCAATATATAGTATATTTTTAAAAACTGGGAAACATGTTAGGCAGCCTAATTTGTCTCTCAAACATTTCCAAATGGATACTATGAAATTCAAAAAAGCAGGAAAACCGCACTTCAAGAAAACTCAAGAGACATTTTTATTTTAAAACTGTCAAAGTTCACAATGGAGTACTACGCAGCTGTAAGAAAGAAAGATCTCTTATCCTTTGAGACTACATGGAGGGACCTGGAAAGTATCATCCTAAGTGAAACAAGCCAAACAGAGAAAGACAAGTATCATATGATCTCACTTATTTGTGGAATATGAGGAACATAACAGTCTGAGGAATGGGGTAGTCCCAGAGATGTGGAAGTGGGGTACAGACTGACAATCCCCAGAAGAGGGAGTAGTGGGGAGAGATAAACCACAGAAATTATATGCATGTATACATGAACAATGGACATGGACAACAAAGCTGGGGACGGGAATAAAGGGGGGGGGGGGAGAAACATCTGTAACAAAATTGATAATAAAAAAAAAAAAACTGTCAAAGTTCAAAAAGTTGGAGAATTTATACAATCAAAGTCCCACAATAAAGAAGTTATGATCTCAGGATATGAAAATCGAACTGATCAGAAGTTTCGGCAATAGGAACAGGCCACCCAGGAAGAGGCGGGTACCTACCTATTTGGTATATTTTGCTCTTTGAACTTACTTGTGTATTCTAGTCACATCCAAAGCACCATCCTCTATTTTCCCATCTTCGGGCCTTCCGCCGGAAGCATGGACTTGGTTAGCTATACATGACAAAGGTGCCAATGACAGCTTTGGAATCAGTGAAAGACTATCCAGATGCAAGGCATCTGTAGATAAACAGAAAAGAATAAAAAAAAATTTATTTTTGTTTAAATGAATATGCCTATTTTCTTTCTCTCTCAAGAGATTGAACCATGTCTGAAAAAGCAGAAGTCAAATCAATTCTATTAACATTTTAACATAATCCCCCACCCCTTGATGCCTGGTTATGAATGGAAATGCCAAATGGTTTTGCTTTCTTTTTTAAAGCAGGGGGAAAGGGGTAGGGTGGGGACAGAAAACCCTTGTCTACTAAGCAACCAAAGGGGTCAACAATCTGTAGCCAGAGGGCAAAATCCAGCCAGCTGTCTGTTTTTGTAAATAAAGCTTTATTGAAACACGGCCACACCCATTCTTCGTGTTGTCCGCAGCTGCTTGTGTGCTACAACAGCAAGGTTGAGTAGTTGCTGCAGAAACCTTATGGCCCGTGAGAACTAAAATGTTTACTCTCTGGCCATTTACCATCCCTGAAAACAGACATTGTGATGGGAACCTGTCAGAGTAACAGGCCATTTTGTTTGTTTGTTTGTTTGCTTGCTTTAATGACTCTAAGAAGCAGGAAAAACAAAACCAAGGCTTTGGAGTCTATCATAGATTTTTAGTTCAAATTCTGGCTCGGTCACATACCAGTTGTGTGATCTTGGATAAACAACTAAACCACTCTGAGCTTCAGTTTACTCATATGCAAGAGACATATAAGCTGAGACTAATTACTGACTCATGTTCCTTGTCTTTAAAATGGGCATTAAGGTAACCTCGACCCCTTAGGAATGTGGTGAGGATTGAGTTAACAAGCACGTGAAGAGCAGAGACCTGTGCCTGGCCCATAGCAGTGCTGTCACAGCTGTTGTGTCGCTGTTTCCACTGAGTTAGTGTGAGTAACATCATCGCCACAGGGCACCAGTCCCTGTCAGACACGAAACGGCCTCTCCATTGGTGGCGGCAGTAGCTTCTCTTCTGTAGGTGAAATGGTCCACAAACCACACTTCCTTTTCATGCCTTGTTAAATTTATTTTTATAATCATACCAATTCTTTTCTCATTTCCGAACCAGCCACTTAACTTTTGCTTTTAAACACATCCGGGTTGTGATGAGACATGTCACTGCTTTGAGTATATCCAAAGTAAAGCTCATCTTCTCTAGCCTGGCATCGAGTTGTCGTCCACGGTCTGACCCACAACCCGCTCCACGCTTAGGTTCTATTGTGTCCCAACACAACCCCTCTTTTTCCAAAGTGACTTGTCCAGCTTTGACTGTTCTTCAAACACTAGGGCTTTTGCACTGTTCTGGGTTTGGTTATTTTCCTCCTCATTTCATTGTCCCCAGTTGCAATAGTTCTTCCATGAGTTTTACTTTTTCCAAATGTGATTCATCATCTTTCAAGGCCAGGTTCAGCTCCCATGTCTTCGATGGGGCCTTCTCCGAGCCCAGGTCTCCTCTCATCAATGATCTGTGAGCTATTTTAGGACTCATTCTCTATTATAGATAATACAGTGCCTTGTACAGAGGGGTGCTCAAACGTAAGTTGACCGAATTCAAGGATAAATAGCCAAGTATTCAACAACTCTTTCTATAAAAATATAATTGTGATTAATTATTTTCCCTGTCAAAAAGAACCCCACCCCACCTATGTCTGATAAGGTGTAGGAGAAGGGCTAGCCAAGCTTACCCAGCAGAGGTGTGTACCAGCATGTATGTTTGAAGATCAGGGGTGTCTTATGTATTCTTGCTTCTTGATCACTATATCGTTTATGGCAACACTGTTTCTGAAAAGAAAGTCAAGTAGTATTAACTGTTTAAAGGAGTGTAACATAACATATTTTATAATCTCTTCTTTTCATCTCCAAAGGTAGAAAAAATATCACTGCAATAGAAGTCGGGAAGAAAATAAATGATGCCAAGTAACAAAGCTTTCATGCCTTTGATCAAGTATAATTTTTATTAAAAATCACAGTTTAATAATTTAACAGAATGATAATATCATTAATTCACAGTAATCAACACTTTTCATATAAACAAAGGCTTTGAGGAAAGAGGTATGGGTAAAGGGCCAGCTTAGTTACATAATAATTCTTCACAATACTGCAACAAAAATGTTTACATATTATCATCTCTTAGGATCTACCAGGATTGTGTTCATGGGTATGATAGAGAAAATAAATAGGTATCCACTTGCTTGCTTCATGTGATAATTTCTCAAAGAAAATCAGTGTAGAGTTCTAAGACTACCAGTACATACTGGACTTAACTTTCTACTTTGGCATAGTAGTTGATTCACAATGGCATTTACACGTTTCAAAAAGCTAAACTTACCAGTTGTTCTTGAAGATGTTGTTGAACCGTATCTGTGCAGGACGAGGGATCATAACTAGGAAATTTCTCATCTAAACAGCTCTGTCATGAGAAAAATTTGGAGCATAGTCAAAGACAGAATGATGAAAGAATCAAAGATACAAAACATATAGACTTAAGAGAAGAAATGATGCTACCTGAGGAGGGTAAAAACCACCAGTCCTTTATCTTGTGATCTACTTTAAGAGAACACATTTGCAATTATTAACCTCTCATTGCCATTGTCCCCATTACTAGAGGAATAAAATCCAAAGACCAGGAACGGGAAGCTGAACGGTCATTGAAATCTTTAGGCAGAGGCCAAAGAATCTTGTTGGAGATATAACTCGGAGTAGTAAAAATGTTGCCTGTGAAAATTTTATAGCAAATAAATTGTGGCCTTAGTACAAGAGGTGGCTACATGTCTCTCACAGTTATATTATAACAAAATTTTACCGATGTTCTTCAAATGATTAAAGCATATTTAGATATGGAAGTTTTTCCAGTTCAGTTTACTGCAGGGGGCTTTTTAGGAACTCTCCCTAGCTTAATCTGCCACATGAGCAATTTTTTTTCCTGCTTAACCAGATGTGCCTGCATCATGTCCTTGGAACAGATACTTGTGAATATCACCCTTCTCTCTTCCCCCTCCAGTGCCAACCATGCTGTTCCTTATGTTCTTCGTTTATGAACAAAAAGAAAAAATTCACCAAGTAGCATAAGGAAAAGAAATACATTAAACTCTCCCATGGACATCTGGAGATATCCAGACAGGAGTCGAAAGGTTAATTCAAATAGGAGAAAAAAGAGGCAATAACCACCAAAGCCCATTCAAAAGTACACATATAAGAGCATCAGAAAAGGAGGTGCCCGAGACTGAAAACTGGCCCTTTTCCAATGGGTACAGTAAATTATGAAATGCTTCTGATACCATTGTAATTAGCTAGTGATTAACAACAGGAGAGGAGTAAAAGGGGAAACCAGATATTATAGGCATGTTATTTGGGCAGTTTCACCAGGAAGCTACAACTTTACACTCCCCAGGGGTCCAACAAAGGAAAGACAATTGCCCAGTTAAGTTGGGGTGACATAGGGAAGGTGCTTGCTTGTCAATCACTCCTAGGGAGAGAGGTGATTGGCCAGAATGGGCATGGCCACTGCAAGTGAGCAAAATTTGGAATATTTAATCCCCTGAACAAAGGAGTTCACTCTCTTGGTTCCTTCTGACATACTTGGCTCACGGTTCACGCTTGGCTTCCTGGTAGTCTCCTGTGTGGCCCACGGCCATGTGGACCCACACACAATGGACCAATGGTCTGTAGCCCTGATGCTGGACTGGACCCGGCTCCACCATGAAATGGAAACTCAGGACACTGGCTCTGCTTCTAGCTTTTCTGAAACCCAAGCTACACTTCTTCTATGACTGGACTAAGAAATGGAACTTTGGAAACCCAGGGATGTAATTCCATGGACATACAAATCACTCATTCTCCCATGCAAGTTTCAGAAAATTCTCTTTCTTGAAGTATCGTAAGAACTCCACCCTCAGCAGCACCCAGTGGGGAAGGGGACACCTCAGTTCGCCAGATAATACTTCCTCTCTTAAAGATATAATGTCTCCAACAAGCCATTTATTAATGCGAGCTCTTCCCTCTTGTTTTGCTATTTTCAGTGCATAAGAGAACAAAATCCAGCCCTGGCTGGTGTGTCTCAATTGGTTGGAACATCGCCCCGTATACCAAAAGGTTGAGGGTTCAATTCCTGGTCAGGGCATGTGCTTATGTTGTGGGTTTGATCCCCCATCAGGGCAGGTACAGAGGCAACCTATCGAAGTTCTTCACGTCTCTCTCTCTCTTTCTTCCCCACCCCCTTCCCTCTCTCTGAAAATCAATATCAATAAGCATATCCTCAGGTGAGGGTTTAAAAAAGAGAGAGAACAAAATCCACCAGGGCATTTTCTCTTAAGTTGGTTATTTAATTTTATTATTAAAATTATTATTCATTATAAATGAGTTCCAAAACCTTACACAGTTAGAACATCATCCCCACACTAAACACATGTCACAGAGGTTTATTTTCCCACCTGAACTAGCAGGCCGTGGAGTCGTCCTTTAATTAACTTCTTTCTTAGTGACTTGATTGTTGCTGTAAAGAGAATTTATAACCAGCTTAATATTACAAGTCCTTTTCCCTTAATTCATTTCCTAAACTTTTAACAGCTTTAAATTGGGGGGAAAGGAGAGAGAAAACAATGACTTCTGAAACTGGCATTCTCAACTCCTGACGTGTGACAACAAAGCAGCAGGAGAACAGAGCAGGCCCGGGCAGCAAAACCACGCCGCCCTTGGTTATTTAACCTTGACCTTGAGAGATGCAAGTGCATTGTCTTCTAGAAGTGAGTCTCAGAATTATTCAATCTTAAAATGGGAATACACCTTAGAGGTCATTCAGTCCAACCCTACCAATGTGGAAATCCTCTCTCCAATAAGCCTGTGCTTGAGCTGCAAGGAAGAAGTCCAAGAAGCCGAGGCCTGGAGTCCCAGGCTTCCACAAGCAGGTCTGAGATCATGACAGCAGGATGCCAAGCGGACTTAAATGACAACTGGTTATTCGTGGCGCTCAGATCAGACTCACAGGATAGTTCTTGATTCACTATACTCTTTGGTGAGATTAAAAATATGTGCCTTTCTACTTTACAGTCTGCTTCCCATAACTTCCAGATTCTCGTCTCTGGAATAATGGAAATGGGGGGGGGGGGGCACCTATTTAACTCTGAACTACATAGTAACATATTACTTATTTGACAACCCATACTCTTTGGAAATAGAGCCAAGATCCGAAAAGCAGGCCTAAAGCTTTTGAACAACCCAAATAGATGTTGCTATCCATGCCCTTTCTTCATGTGGAAAAGCCTCACACTTCCACTCAGAAAGTGGGCTCTGAATTTATACATAATTCTCGCAAGCTGACTGTTTTCTCAGCCCACAGATGATTAAAAACAAAAATGAGGGTAGGAAGCTTTGCTAGATGGAAGCATATTAATAGTTGCCACTTTTTTTTTTTTTTTTGTAAATCACTAACAGCCAAGAAAAATTAACAGCAGGTACGCTGGTGTCCAAAACACATAGAAATCTGGTCCTTCTTAAATTAAATATAACAAGTTTGATACCTCAATAGCCTAAAAAAATTCTGAGCCATGGAAAACAATGCTAGTATATGTAAAAATAAATATATAATCTAATTCCCCCACCCCCCCACCCCGGGAAAAAAGGCTTAAAAAGCTTTACTTGTGTGGAAAGTTACCCATGTAAAATTCTATTTTGTAAGAATATTTTTAAAAATTAGTCATTTCTCAACTAAGCTTGAGATAGTGTTACTAGCCCCACTAAGAGGGAAGTATATATTTTAACTATTTCTAACATATCAAAGGAATTTACATTAAAAATTGTTAATACTTAGAACTCTATCTAAAGATTCAGTTCTTTAAAATTCTCTGCATTAACTGCATGAAGAAATGAGGTCCTGTCCTCCTCCTGACCTACATCTAAGCAACAGCAACCAAAGCTTTCAAAAGTGGCCAGAAACATGTTTCTGAAGGTTGTATATCTCCAAAACACCGTCTTTGAATTTCCAAATTAAGCATGTGTTTCAGAAGAAATAACAAGTGAGTATAAGACTGTCTAAATTGCCCATCTGCTTTTCTATGAGGCAATCTTGGGTTTTAGAAATAGTCCACCTCAAAACATTCAAACTGTAAACCTTGTTTCAACAGATGTTTTGTGCAACGTGTAGCAACTATTTGCATATGTTTCATAAGGCAAAACAAGCTGGCTTGTGACCTTAATTTGCATTCACCTTTGCATTCTTCTTTATGTGTTTGGAGCTGGACCTGCATTGTCTCTAAGACATTTAGGTTTCATGTGGAAGCAAAAAAAAAAAAAAAAATGGCCAATGTATCCCCTGCTGTTGCCATCTGTGATGTGGGATGGGACCAGGTGTCTTGGATACACTGCCTTTGAAACTAGCTCAGATAAAACTGTTTTCTACATGACTGTACAATAAGGCTTTCAGGCAAATCCCCACAATAAATTGACTGATGAAAATCAAAACCATAATATCAGAGCTGAAATAATTTTAGCTCTCCATGATGGTTGCTTTTTAGGGAGTATGGACTTTTATAACACAATATGTGTTACCTACTTTTCTATAGAATTATGCATTAAAAAATATCAGGGTTCATTGAAAACCACAGACTAGAAGAAAATAATTCATAAGACATATATCTCTCAAAGGACTTGTATACAAATTATGTAAAAAATCCTGCAACATAATAACAAAAGGACAAATGTCCTCATTTGAAAACGGGCAACAGACTTAGATACTTCATAAGGAAGATATAGCCAATCAGCATAACAAATAAAAATCACAATCAGATCCTCAGAAGAGTGGTGAAAATGTCACTCTTTTGATTGACACCACCAAATGGAGCTGCGGAGCACCTGGAACTCCCACACGTTGCTGGTGGGCACGTGAAATGCTACAAACATTACAGAAAACTGCTTGGTAGTTTCTTAAAAAGTTAGAGTTACAACTACACTATGACCCAGCAACTCTGCTCCTAGATATTTATACTAGGTCAAATAAAAACATATGTCCACACAAAGACCCATACATGGACATTCATAGCAGCTTTCTCTATAGCAGCCTCAAACTGAATATGATTTAGATGTCCAATAGGAAAAAAGATAACCAAATTATGGAATGTTCAAAGAAATACAACGCAACCACGAAAAGGGTTTGCCACTGATAAATACTACACAAATAAATACTACACTGATAAATACTACACAGATAAATACAACACAGATAAATACTACACTGAGGGAAAGAGGACAGACACATACAAAGTACATCCCGTATAACTCAATGCTAGAATAGGTTAAACTAACCCATCAGTGATAGAGATCAGATTGGTAGTTGCTCCTTGTGGAGGTGGAGGTGGAGGTGAGAAGGGGGAGTGACTGGGAAAGAGCATGGGGAACTTCCTGGGGTTACAGAAGTTCTATGTCTCTGTATGCCTTCTGTCAAACTGGTTGAACAGTATAGTTAAGATCTGAACTTTTTATGGTATGTTAATTATTCACCAATACAAAATAATTTAAAAGCTATAACAAGAACAAAAATAACAGGGTTTGTGAGGTTCACTAGAATTAGGTAGAAACCAGAGCATTAACAAACACAGTTATTAAATAATTCGGACCTAGGCAGGTAACTTGGATCACTGAGACATGCATGTTAAGACGGCTAAAGGCTGCCCCACAGGCACTCGATACTGTTGACACCTGAAATGGCACAGTGCTGGTGGGTGCTAAGAAATGCAGATGGCAGTGACACTCTGAGGCAGCGACACCGCTAAAGTGAACGCAAGAGGTAGTACAGTCTGCCAGGAGCCAGAGCCTTGCAAGGCTGGGGCACAGCTTCTCTGGGGAGCAAGGCCCAGGTGCAGACACTTGTTTTTCATTTTCTTAAAACACAGCTGAAAGGGCTCCTGCTACCTGTCAACAGCCAGCGACGGTTATAGTTCTATGCCTTCCAACCAGGAATATGTTCCTTTCTATTCCGAGGAAAATCATGAATAAAACTACACAACTTCCATAACGAATTAACATGTCATTACCCATTAGCCAATCATGAATGAGGCCATTCGTGTGACCGAAACATGCCTTAGAGTAGACTGTACCAAGTATGGCCAAGCACTAGTTACTGTTTTGCATTTCTGTTATTTATAAATTAATAACTACTGCATTTTCTGGAAGAGGATACTGAGGCTCAGAGAGGTAAAGTGATTTGCCCAACTCAATCTGGTTTCTCTTTTGCAGACTTAGAATCAGAATATAGGTTTAACCTCAAATCCCATGCCCTTAATCATTAAGCTATACTGCCTTTTAGATGATTTTGCCCACACCTACATCCTTCCTTTGGGAAAATTTAGGCCCCCATCCCATCAGATCTGTTGACGTTGGTTTTCTCTCCGGCCTCACTTCAGCACTTATCTTAAAGTGTCTCAATCAACTGAGTCCCCCTTCCTTGTCTCATTTCCCTCTTGTGTGTTGACTGTTGAGGACATGTGCCTCTCGCCTTGCATCTATCCTCAAAGCTGTAAGGCTGTTGTCTGCCCCATATCTTATGACCTGCATGCTAAAAATAGCATGCTAGAAGAGTTTCCAGTGAGATCATCTAGATGAACGCTTTCTTCAAACTATCAAGTTCACACATACACGCTATGTTTAAACAAGCAGTTATGATAAACAGAACCTTCTCAGGTTCTCTCCCCAAGGATACAGTTATGGTTTCTAAAGATAATTTCCTCACTGTCTATTAAATGAGTGACTCAGTGATAATTTCATGTCAGCTAGGCCAAAGAAACAAAACAAAAAAAGATGAATGCTAAAAGTTTTATAATTTGGATTAGATCAATTAGTGTATATTTCATGTATATTAGAGTCACCCTAATATGTTGAATGTACACCATAGAGCTAAGAAGATTTTGTTCCCTTTTTAAAGTAAACATCAATTGATATATCCAGTATTGCCTTTGTTAACAAGATACTTAGATACATACGAAGATAAAAAGTAGAAGGAAGAAAAATATAAGTAACCATTCAAGAACTTTAGCAGTTCTAATGGCACATTTTGTGGAGGCAAGCACATATGCCAATTATGTCATAAATAAGTCCAGTTCTGGTGGCAACTGAAAACGTGAACAATGTTATTCATTCAGCATTAAGTTCTGAGTTTCTAATCAAATGTCATAAACAACTTCCTTGTTCCTGTTTGTGACCACTGTCACTGACCTGAACATTTGAACAAAACAACTGCACCCACCCCCCCATACACAATTAGCCTTTCTTAGACGTAGCAGAAAGCAATGAGCTTAAATCCTTAATGAATTTATAAAGCTAACCAAAAGTTTCAGAAGAACTGAATGGATTTCAATATTTTTATTTTCTGACTCAGAATTCAAAGGTCTGACTCAGAACTCAAACAGCGTGTGGTGGCCACGGTCACGGTAGAACGTGTGAGGCTGCTTGTGTGATGACTGTCCTACCTCAGTGACATTTGCTCACAGTCTATCTGCAAAGCCTTCTCTATAGAACATGTCAAAGATATCTGCTACCTAAATTTTCCTCTTCTTGCAAAGGTTGATTTTTAAGAGAATTATGAGAATTATTCAGAAGCAAGGGGTCGTAAGAGTACAATCTTGTTATGTTTGCCTTTTTTTATGTAGCAAAAGGTACAGTTGATCAGGAGTTCATAAAGCCAGGCTGGCTGTGAGCACGTAGGGGTAGAAAGGAGGCATCCATTCTACTTTATTCAGCCAGGAAAAAAAAAAAATACATGCATTTAACCCGGGGCTGCTGAGTTGAATATTTTAATAATTTTAATAATATTTGGACCAATTATCTCCTGAGGATAAACTGGGAAGACAGTAGCAAGTTTGTAGTATCAGGAATGAACATTTTGGGAAAAATTGTGAAAGTTGATTCTCAAAAGAAGAGAAATCATGGGTGGGGGGTTGAGAAGAGACATAAATTCGTAGTTTTATAGAACTATGGAGGGATATAATATTGATTTAATCAAAAGATAAATATAACTGCACCAAAAGAGTAGTCCTCTTAGCACAGTGTCCAAAGCAAACACACCATAAACCAAATTTGGTTATTAATCATGTCTCAACATTAACACTTCTAATCATAAGGGGACCTTTTCTAAGGCCCTCTGGCCAATACTAAAACAACACATAGATTATGTGTTTAAAGCATTCCTTACATTGTGAGATGGAGTGAAACAAAGTAATCCAATGCTTAGAGTTATTAAAAGCTAGCAAGTTCTATGAGGTTTGGAAAAAAAGAATAATAAAATGTTGAATAACCACTGCCACTTTAGAACGTGCCAGCTCCTTTCAACTCTTAAACAGCTTTCTCAGACAACAGTAGAAAGAGTAATATAAATCCAAAACAAACACATGTCTGAAAAGTTCCATCTCTAGCTCGCCTTAAGCTTATATTTAGTTATTTATTATCCAAGCCAACAGCTTTCTATAAAAAGAACATTTACACTGCTGGAACAAGAAGCTGGCTGAACAAAAGCAATTGTTTGATAAGTGGTCAAATAAACAAGCTTTATTTTTTTTTATGTTTCTAGAATAAAATAAGCTTATAAATAACCCAACATCTGCAACCTGACAGCTGTCTTTTCACCTAAATCCTTAGTGAACACTTACCCACTTTTAGGTAATACGGAAAAATGAAAAATATTCTAACTTGTAAAGCAATGTATATATGTAAAGAATACATTTAAAAAGAATTCTCATGCACAGTTAATATTTTTATATGCAGTAAATTCAGAAGTATTTTGCCCAATCCTAAAATTATGACTTAAAAGAAAATAGAGAATAGTCTTTTCTACCATATGATGGGTACAAACTAGCTAATAAAATCAGGGTAGAATATGTAAATAACTTGCAGGCTCAAATATCCCATGCAAACAGGCTTGTTTCCCTTGTTTACTTTTACAGATATTGAGATGTTTTATTTAATTTTTAAAGAAATAACAGCCATGGACAAATCTAGCTGGTAATTAACAACCGAAAGGAACGTCAGTGGTTAAGTCAAGCTACTTAGCTGCCAGGCAAAGGTCTCTAAAGCCCACAATACCATCTCCTGGAACATAAATGTTTTCATAATAGCAGCTGTCATCGAGAAAAACGGTGTCGTCTGCCCCACCTCAGAGTGGACGAAATTGGGACAGAATAAATATTTGCTACTCACTTTTCAATTTTCGTGTCTTCTGCTCCAGCGCCTGGCAAGTGTTCACTAACTCAGTATTTATAGTCTGGAGACTCAGTTGTTCCGAGATTGCTTCCTCTAATTTATGCAGCAAAGACCTCGCTTTTTCACTGGCTGAGCGGGCTGTGCCATCTCGGTCCTCAACCTGGAGACGGACAGTGGAGACTGGATTTGCACAGTGGGGCCGGGGAAGAAAGCAGTGTGAGCGCTCGCCCTTATGCACAGGAAACTGAAAATGTGCTTTTGTTCTCAGGGAAGTGATAAGCCTTCACTGAACTTCTGCAATTCCGTGTTTGCATGGGCTGCGTGCGCCTGGGCTGCTTCTACAGCCCTACCAGCTCTGAGATGTCAAGTTGCCTCTCTGCAGAGTCGCCTCCTCTGGCAGCAGACTGTTGACACCGCCTCTCTCACAACGCCCCCTTTACTTCCTCCGCTCGCTGCTGGTCTCGGGACCGAACTGCACAGTTCCTCTCTGGGTTTTTTTGGTTGTTGTTCTCCTTCCTTCTCCATTTTTACTTTATGGTTTTTAGGGACATCTGCGGAGGCTTCCCTTAAATGTAATGTAGTCAAAGGCCGCCCTACCTGCTCCTCAGCTTCCTCTTGCCCGGGGCTGGCGTCTTGGACCTTCTTCCTGAGGATGGCTTCCTGGGGGACAGCATCTTCTGGCAGCTGTTTGATGGCTTCTAGTTGTTTCTGACTGGAGTTTAAAAAAAAAAAAAAGTCCCAACCACAAGCTGTCAGTGACATTTGAACGAAGAGTCACCCCTGGGAAATTGTGACAAATTCAGACTTTATACATTTCCTCCGAGATCAGAGAAAAGAAGTAAAAGTTGTTAACATACATATAAATGCTTTTCCGATATAGAATTTTAATGAAAGCAATCACCTCGATCCCCTAGCCTGATACCCCCACTTCACAGACAAGGACATTTAGTTTCCCATTTTATTGGAATATTCAGTTCCCCATACGCTGCATTCACCACTTTGCATCTGTGGCCAATTGCTTAGAGGTTGGAGCTACAGTGAGGTCGCTGTGACAGGTGCAGTATTTATACAGCTAGCTTTTGCAGAAAAAGAAAGGAAAAATGAAGGAGGGGAGAAAAAAAGAAATAGGAGCTTTGTTTCCTGACCTTAGCCTTTCTCCTTAAAAGTTGTCAATCAGGGTAGAAATGAGTGCCCCGAGACCAGGAAGGGCTGGCCCAAGCACAGATGAAAGCGAGCTGTGAGGGTTTCCCCTGCATTCCCCTCTTTCTGGAGACCTTCCCCTCCTTCTTCCTCACGCCAAATCCCTTAGTGCTATTATGTTACCTCTCTTTTGGATTTGACCTTCATTCTCAAAATACATAAAAATGCATCTACTTTCTGTGAGCAGATGAAATTATTTGAAATATGTTCTGTATCAATATAGCAATGACTATCTGGAAACAACTTGACCTGAATAAGGACCTTAGCTCAAAGGGATGATAAACATTGGGAGTTTTAGGCCTTTGTGTGCCTCTCAAACGTTAACACACAGTCAGAATTGCACTGTGCATTGCCATAAATCCTGCCCTGATTGCAAAAGGACCACGTAAGGACAAGGATGGGCTTATCGAATGCTTTACCATTATAGTAAACCAGCAACAGAGCCCTAAACAAAATTAAAACCATCTGAACACATATTCTACTAAGATTGTTCAATAGCTTAGAGTCATATTTTTCTTTTCTTAAATTGTGGTGAGCCTGGCCAGTTTGGCTCAGTGGTTGAGCATCGGCCTGCAGACCAGAGAGTCCCGGGTTCGGTTCCTGCTAAGGGCACATACCACAAAAAAAATTGTGGTGAGAACCTTTAACATGAGATCTACCCTCTTAACACATTTTTAAGGGTACAGTATAGTGTTAACTTTACTCACAATGTTGTATAGCAAATCTCTAGAACTTTCTTATCCTGTGTAGCTAAAACTTTATACCTGCTGAAGAACTGCAACTCCCCATTTCTTCCTCCCCTAGTCCCTGGAAACCACCACTCTACTCTCTGCTTCTATGAGTCTGATGATTTTTAACACCTCATGTAAGTGTAGTGCAGTATTCGTCCTTCTGTAACTGGTTCATTTCACTTACCGCAATGTCCTCGAGATTCAACCATGTTGTTCCATGTGGCAAAAGGTCCTTCTTTTTTAAGGCTGATTATTATTCTGTTGTATATATACCACATTTCCTTATTCATTCATTCACTGATGAACATTTAGGCTGTTTCCACATCTTAGCTATTCTGGATAGTGATGTGATGAACATGAGTGTGCAAATCTCTCTTTGAGATTCTGTGTTGAGTTCTTTTGGATATATACCCAGAAGTGTGATTGCTGGATCATATGGTAGTTCTATTTTTAATTTTTTAGGAACCGCTATACCGTTTTCCATAGCATTTGCACCATTTTATATTCCCTTGAACAGTATACAAGAGTTTCAATTTCTCTACATCCTTGTCAACACTTAGTAGCCTAACAGGTGGGATTCATTCATCATTGTGAATGACTCACTGTGGTTTTTATTTGCGTTTCCCTGATGATTAGTGATTTTGAGCATTTTTTTTTCATATACCTATTGGGCAATTATGTATCGTCTTTGGAAAAATACCTATTTAAGTACTTGCCATTTATTTTGACTAAGCATTTTTTTTATTCCTATCCACCTTCCGCCACCCAATCTTGGCAATGATCAGCTTGTTCTCTATATCTATGGATCTGTTTGTATTTTGTTTTGTTTATTCATTTGTTTTATTTAGATTCCAAGTGAAATCATATAGTATTTTTTGTCTTTGTCTGACTTATTTCACTTTGCATAATACCCTCTATGTCTGTCCATCTTGTCACAAATGGCAAGAATATTCATATATAAAGTAACATTCCTATATATATTCATATATGTAATTGAAATATATACATTTCACCTCTTCTTTATCCACTCGTCTATTGATGGACATCTATATCACTTCCATATCTTAGCTATTAATAGCAATGCTTCAATAAATATAGGGTAAATATATCTTTGAATTAGTGTTTTGGGGTTGTTTTTTTTTTGGATAAATAACCAGAAGTAAAATTGCTGGATCATAAGGCAGCTCCACCTTTAATTTTTTGAGGCATCCCCATACTGTTTTCCAAAGTGGCTGCACTAATTTACAATCCCACCAAAGGGTTCCCTTTTTTCCACATCCTCTCCAGCACTTGTTATTTGTTAATTTATTGATGATAGCCAATCTGACAGGTATGAAGTGATATTTATTTTAGTTTTAATTTGCATTTCTCTGATAATTAGTAACATTGAGCACCTTTTCATATGTCTATTGGCCATCTGTACATCATCTTTGAAGAAGGTCCTCTGCCAAATTTCAAACTGAATTGTACTTCCTTATATATTTTGAATATTAAACTCTTGTCAAATATATGGTTTACAATATTTTCTCTTTCTCTTATTTCATACCTTTTCACTCTGTGAATTCCTTTGCTGTACAAAAGCTTTATATTCTGATCTAGACCCACTTGTCTATTTTTTTCTGTTGTTGCCTGTGCTCTGTGGTGTCACATCCAAGAAATCATTGCCAAGACCAATGTCATGAAGCTTTTCTCCCAAGTTTCTCTTCTAGGAGTTTCACAGTTTTAGGTTTTATGTTTAAGTCTTCACTGTATTTTAAGTTGATTTTTGTATATGGTATATAATAAGTTATCTGCAGACATTCCTAGCCAGTGAAACACCGTGATGGGCGTGTGCTATACGATACCAGCATCTGAACAGCAGCTGAACATTCCACCCCCTTTTGCTCAAGCTCTCTCGGTAACAGAGCATTTCTCGGTCCATCATCATGTCCAGAGGTGACAGGCTGATTAAGCTGCACTGCCACTCAGTTTCAGTGTTCTGAAATAATTACCTAGGTAAACTTGGGAAGTTATTGAACCTCTCTGGAGTTAAATGTATGTCAAATTCTTAGCACTACATCCAACATAGTAAGCTCTCAACAAATTGCACCTACTATTATCTAACTGGGTTTCTTGTGTGTCTATAGAGAATACAGAAGATTCACTTATTGAGAGATGGCGCTAGTGCAGGCCTCTCTCCAAATAGTTCTTTGCTGCTAAACAAGAATCTCAATGCTCCCTTTTGTGGACATGGTGTCTGTGTGAGGAAGCTGCATGTCCACGTAACCCACAACCTCACCACGAAGGGGAAGTCTGGGCTCCTGCTCTTTGGGAAAGCAGAAGATCGCTTTCTTGAGTGGCCCTTATAGTGTTAGCTTATCTCTGGCATCTCGTTTCCTTGTTAGGGGAGATAAGGTCATTTTTTTTTCTGGCTATATTTTTTAAGCAACCTTGGTCTCTGATGACATTTTTTAATTTTATAAAAATTCAGGATACACCCATGTTCATTCATTCCTTCAGAAAGCATTCCTTCAGGAAATGCAGCTATATAAACAGAGGTCAGCAAAAAAGATAAACACTGCCCTTGTTTATAGCAAATGTGGTTTACAAAGTGTACCAATTTCAAGAATTTCCCCATAATCACAAGAATTAAGGTGAGAGGAGGGGTAAGATGGTAAATTATTTTATATAGAGAGTCCTCTATTCTCTATAACTCTTTTTACTTGAAGTTTAATCAGCTAGTGCCCAATGTGGTGCATTGTATCCTGAGGTGGAGCATGAAGCCCGATGGGATAGGAGTCTACAGACCCAGCCTCGAGTTCTTCCATCAGATCTTCCATCAAGATCGATCTGTGGGTTTTCTGTGAACTTCAGGTCCTGGTCAATTAACTTTATATCCTTATGTCTTGGTCTTGTGTAAAACAACGAGTTTTTACTAAATGATCTCTAAAGCCCCTATGGTTAAAAGAATTTTATATCCTGTAAGTCCAAATTCCTTCTTTAGAGAAAATAAGTCATTACACTGGTTTCCAGAGATTTTAAAGTTCACTATATGCAATTTTCAATATACAAGTCAATTTCAGACTATTTCACAATTCAGGATTGTCAGACAAAATGTCTTCCCTGAAAAAGTGTCAGCTGAAGTAAAGATATACAACTTGAAAAATGAATTGAAGGCTATGGCACAATCACAAACGTGTCATGTTTATGCAGCATGGGTTTCTTATATATAAATGATCGTTACCTGGAAAGATATTCTTTTCTGAAATGAAAATATTCCAGCCTGAATCTCTTCAAAATCTCTATCAATTTGACAAACTCTTTGTCAAGAGACTCTTTGTGGTTTCCCAAGCTCTTCAACATTAATATGCAAAGATTTAGTTTCTCTTCCATGGCATATTTGAATTCCTACAAGGAAAATCACAAAACAAACTCTACTATTTCAGTGTTAAATATAAACATGACAGAGGCAATATGAAATGCTGTGCCATTCCCCTTTCAATAGAATCATTGTTATTGGGCCCTAAAATGCTAATTGAACACATACTAATTCTCAATTGCCCAAAGACTGATTATCCTTGAGGTTGATTATCTCAATTTAACAAGTACATATTGGATATTTATCATGTGTCTGAAATTGAATTTCATTTCTTTTTCTTAAGATTGTGGGTCCCTGCCCATCTCACCAATTATCATTCTTTTTTTTCCTTTATTGATTTTTAGAGAGAGAAAAAGGGAGAGGGAGAGAGAAATAGAAACATTGATGAGAGAGACCATCGATTGGCTGCCTCCTGCACGCCCTGCACTGGGGATTTGGCCCACAACCTGGGCATGTGTCCTGACCGGGAATCGAACCGCAACCTCTTGGTGCATGGGTCAAGGCTCAACCGCTGAGCCACACCAGCTGGGCTCACCAATATATGCTAGTCAACAAATACTGAGTTTATTGCATTTCCTTGTCCCGCCCTATTCTAAAGGAATCATCAACTATTACAGGGCGGGACAAGAAAATGCAATAAAATCAGTATTTATTGATTAGCATATTCAAAAATAACTTTTACAAAAAGGTTTGTTTGGCAAAGGGGTTGAAATGACCATTCCAGAGTTTTCAGAGTTTCCCTCTTGCATTAGCTTAATTTAGGGGCTGATGAACATTAATAGTCGTCTGGCAATCAAGAAGTAGAGATGATAAGTGATGGATAAATTAAGTAGATGTATACGGTTCTTTCCTAACCAAACTGGAAATAGCTACCTAAGAAGTTCATGTTTTTCCAATGTTCTGTAATTTCTTGGATAATAAAACTGTCAGAGTCTCAGGAATAACATTCTTTTGCACAATAACCATTCTACCAAACAGTGAGTTTCAACAAGCCAGTGTTAACTGCCTTAGACTAGCCAATTCACACAAGGATTCAAATAAAATACACTAAGTCATCTTATTTATTCTTTGTTTCTCCAATTCATAATACACATCCTCTCACTCCCTCACTCTCTTTTTCCACACTCTGACACTCAAAAACTTATCCTAACCCTCACTCACTCTCACCCACATAGGCACATGCATACACACCCCAAGCACACACTGTACACACACCGTCAGACTGAGAGAGCAGAAGGCTACAGGAATGCCTCAGAAATGATACTGTACATAATAAATATCACCTGGGTTTGAAGAGTAGAAGAAAAATCACAAAATACAGAGCACTTACCATAAGCTTGTCCTCCCACTTTTCTCTCACAGTAATTTCTGGATTAGTTACCCACTGTAGCGAGCTGTCAGTGAAGGTTTCCACTTCAGAAACTGCTTCATGCTGAAAAAGGGTTTTACATCTTCAACTAGGAGTTCAGGTGAAAGACATATGCTATTATATAAGAAGTAATTTAGACCACAGTTGTATTATATAAGCAATCCAGGAAGACAAGACAGAAAATTTCTTCTCATCTAATGCCACCCATCAACTTGCCTTTATCCCAGGACGTTGTCATGTGTAGATGCTAACTCTCATTGGGTTCTCTAAACATGCTGAATATGCACAGATAGAATCATTTTCCAGAACAAAACTGACCCATTTCCATCCTCCTCTTGAATGAAAGGAAACAAGCATTTTCATGAAGTTTTTTCATTTGTCAAACTAAATAGTACCTACTAGGCATGCTAGGCACTGTGAAAGAGACTTGAAATACCAGTGAAGAGTCTCTGCTTTCTCTGACCAGCTAGAGTTTCCAGTCATGCATCAAAATGAAGAAAGAGGTACTAGCCATTACCTAGAAGGAAACTGTGCAATAGATACCATGTCTTCAGCCCTTCGATACTAAAGATTAACCTGTAGGAACACTATGCTCAAGCAATCCATATCTAATGGTCAACCTGTTCATCCTGATGGACTCAGAACTAGAAGATCAACTTCAGGAATGTTTGAGAAAAATCTTTTCTTTCATAGTAGGATGAATTTGGGGCTCAACAACACACACATACGCTTGTGCTCAGCAAACAGGTTGGGGTGAGTTATGTGCAGACATTCCTAGCCAGTGAAACACCGTGATGGGCGTGTGCTATACAATACCAGCATCCGAACAGCAGCTGTACATTCCACCCCCTTTTGCTCAAGCTCTCTCGGTAACAGCAGCATTTCTCGGTCCATCATCATGTCCAGAGGTGACAAGCTGATTAAGCTGCACTGCCACTCAGTTTCAGTGTTCTGAAATAATTACCAAAATGTTTATGTCTCTTGTCTTTCCAATAATGAACATTCATTATTTTTACTTCATGAAAATAATGTCCAGGGGTCAATATAACGGTTCCCATTAAATAGTTCTAAATAGTCTTATGGAATCTTCCCATATTCTCAAAAAACTGTTTACATTTTCTCTCTAGTATGGCTTTAACTTATCAATTACATGTTCTTAATAAAATCCCATTATCCCGTAGATAACATGTACATGTCGGTGATACAAACTGCTATGACTCTAGTGTTATGAAAATAAGGAACGGTAAAGAAATTCACAGGAAAAAAATGTTGGGGTGGGGTGCTCAATAAATCACATTGAAAACAAACGGGTTTCTTCTATCTCCCTTCCATTTACAGCAGACAGTCTCAGATAAGGTTTCACAAAGCATATACCTTATACTTCTCTTGAAGTCTCTTGTCATATTTTAGATATATGACAGTACATTTAACTTTCTCTTGCTGTCTGATGGGAAAAAGTCAGAGGGCCTTTATTTCCAGATTCCAATTAAAAGGCAAACTTCTTTACCCATCAGTGAGGTAAACCTCAGAGCCAGAACTCTGCCAGCTGTTTAGCCCTGTTTAGAAGTGTAGAACTTCACAGCCCGGCATCTTGACATCATCGTTATCCCAGCGGACTGAGGAGGAAAACACACTGCCCTGGCAGATTTGCCCTCATTCATTCAGTCGGGCAGTTCGGTTCGGTTTCAACAACACTGTAAAATGATGAGTATCTGAAACCATGTCAGGAAAGCACAGCCCTTGGCAGAATGTCCAAAGCTGCCTGAGACGGCGTCAGATGAAGGCAGCATACGCTGCCCCTCCATCCTTGGCAGAAGAAATTCAAACAGCTTTGCCCCAAAGACATTCTTCCTCTCCTTTCAAGGTCATACCACAGCTGTCAACCGGAGGACACACTGACATATCCATTGTCCACAGACATGGAGAGACCATCAAAGTGGTGAAAAGAAAGCAATTTGCTGATAAAGCATTTCCTAAAATAACAAGCACGAAACTGGAAATTATAAAAGAGTGGAAATATAGTACTATTGGGGAGGGTCCCCAACATTTCATCCCCAAGAAGGCTTTTGATTGTTTCCTGCCACATTGTAAAGAATTGAGTCTAAAACTTCTATGCATATATGCATAACCAATGGACACTGACAATAGTGTAGGGAAGGCAGGAGGGGGCGGGATTAGGGAGGAGGGGTTCAGTGGGGGAAAAAGGGGAAACATCTGTAATATATTCAACAATAAAGATGAGTTAAAAAAAATAAAATAGCCCTGGCCGGTTTGGCTCAGCAGTTAGAGCGTTGGCCTGCGGTCCAGAGAGACCCGGGTTCGGTTCCTGCTAAGGGCATGTACCTCGGTTGCAGTTTGTCCCCAGCCCTGGTTGGTCATGCGGGTGGCAGCCACTCGATGTGTCCCTTTCACGTCGATGTCTCTCTCTCTCTCTCTCTCTCGCTCTCCCTCCCTCCCACTCTATCTGAACAAAAAATGGAAGGATGTCCTCTGGTGAGGATTAAAAAATAAATAAATAAATAAAATAAAATAAAATAAAATAAAATAAAATAAAAGGCAAATACTAGGGTAAATAATTGAATCTATCCAAGAAACTGAGATTTAAAAAAATATATTTTTATTGATTTTTAGAGAGAGATGAAGGGAGAGGGAGAGAGAAATAAACATTGGTGTGAGAGCAGAACATCAATCAGCTGCTTCCTACACACCCCCTATTAGGCATCAAGCTTACAACCCAGGCATGTGCCCTTACCAGCATCAAACTGGCAACCTTTCATTCAGTGCACAGGACAATAAAGACTAACCAACTGAGCCACACTGGCCAGGGCAAACTGAGACATTTTTAAAGTAATAATTCATTTTGCCATTTTAAAATTAACCAAAAACATTAAAAAGTACTCATTTCTGTTCTGAATAATCATCATCATTAAATTGGATTAGTACAATTACATCCTAAAGCAAAGAAATTGCATGTTTTTTCTGAGCATCTTTATTCATGGTAGATACATTTACTGTGGGGGACATAGGTAACACTAAAAAATGGTTCATGGATCTTGACTGCAACCTTTAGGACCCCAGGCTAGGGAATATGCAGGTACTTTGTCCTAAAAATACAAGAATATAAAGATTTCTGAAATCCAGTTTCACTGAATGCACAGGTGCACAACCCAAGCTTGATCTTCACTATAGTTTTCAGCCATAACTTAGAAAAGGTCTGTTCTTTCAGGCTGAGACTTTAGACTTGGATTCTGAAAACTATCAGACTTTAGACTTGGATTCTAAAAACTATCAAAATGTCACGAACCTTCACTTAATAATAAGTCATCGCACGTGGTGATTAATTTTTAAAGCTTTTCATTTGATGACAATTACCTACCTCTGCTGACTGAGCAAGAATGAGTTCACAATGTAAAGATTTTTCTCCTTTGGAGATGATACTCTTATGTTCTCCACTGGAATTCAACTGGATCCCATTCCTTGAAAAAAAACCAACAACAGTAATCCCATCTTGTTAGGTGTGCCTTCAATACTATTTTTTTTCTTTTTAAAATATGTTTTTATTGATTTTAGAGAGAAAAAAAGGGAGAGGGAGAAACATCAATGTGAGAGAGAAACATCAATCAGCTGCCTCCCACACGCACCTGGACTGGGGATGGAGCCCACAACCTGGGCATGAGCCTCAACCGGGAATCCAATTGATGACCTTTTAGTGCACCGGATGATACTCAACCAACTGAACCACATTTACTGGCCAGGGCTCTAACATTATGTTTTGAGTCACCAGAATAGGTTTTGTGTATGACCAAACAATCAGTAAGCCCTCACGTGTACCAAGGATTGCGTAAGATACGTAGGAATACAGAGACAAGGGAAAGTCCCTGTCCTCCAGGAGCTGCACAGACTAGTGACATAGATGGTCACAATTAGGCCCACTTTTTTTTTTTTTTTATGATTTGGAGCCAATACTTAAAAATTAGAAAATTTCACTTAAAAATCTAGGTTTCTGGCCCTATCTAGTGTGGTTCAGTCAGTTGGGCATCATCCCATGCATCACAAGGTCACCAGTTCGATTCCCAGTCAGAGCACATGCCCAGGTTGTGGGCTCGATTCCCAGTAGAAAACATGCAGGAGGCAGCCAATCAATGTTTCTCTCTCACATCAATGTTTCTCTGTCTCTCTAAAATCAATAAAAACATATTCGAAAATAAATCTAGATTTCTGGTTTTTCTTAAAAAAAGACAGAAGACATGGCCACACACTGGGTACATATATTCTTGATGTAACAATTAGCTGGAGCTAAGCAGAGTGCCCCTCTGCCTTTACTAGGGTAATGCCTTTTTCTCATGGGTAACTTGGGTAACTTGCATAATGTAAGTGTGTGCAATCACCCCTTTGGCTTTACTCTCATTCTCTGAGTAGCTCCTATAAACTCTTGGACTAGTATATTACACATGTTCAGAAACAAATTATTATAATATAAGATGATGTATGTTGCAAAAGAAGTAAGAACAGTGTGCCGTGCATGCACTCAAAAAGGTGACTTTAATCTCAAGGTAAGAGAAAAGGAAGGGAAGGCCATAAGCAGTTCTGTTGGAGAAGATACCACTTACAACAGTACAGAGGAAAAGAATGTGGTACAGCCCTGGCCAGTTTTGCTCAGTGGTTAGAGCATCGGCCCATGGGCCAGAGAGACCTGGGTTTGGTTCCTGCTAAGGGCATGCACCTTGGTTGTGATTTGTCCCCGGCCCTGGTTGGGTCATGTGGGTGGCAGCCACTCGAGGTGTCCCTTTCACATCGATGTTTCTCTCTCTTCCTCTCTCTCCCTCCCACTCTAGCTGAACAAAAAACAAAAAAGGAAAAATGTCCTCAGGTGAGGATAAAAAAATATAATAATGTGGTATATCCAAGAACTGCAGATAGCTCAATAGGCCAGTGACGTAGGGTGGAGGCACGAGAGAGAAGGTTGCTGAAGCTTGCTGTGTACTTACATGATGAGTTCCTGTTGCAGGTGCTGTAACTCATGAGCCAGTTTGTTTTTTTCTCCTCGTACATTCTAGAATCACATACATTAGGCTGTACATGTTACTACAGTGGGGTATTTACATTTACATTTAACAACCCCACCTTGCAATTTCTAAGATTATTATGCAATACCTCTATAATGCTGCCATATTCTATGATGGTTGCCTTAAGTTCTTCTATACTTAAATCCTTCTGAAAATTAGAAAAGAAAATTAATAGCTAATAAATGCATGAGTCTACCAAATCATGTTTATTATAGTAAATATCAATCTGAACTACAGAAAAATTATAAATGCCCAATGAAATGAGACCTTCTATCAGTCATAGTATTTGAAAACGGAACCAGTCGGCGTTTGTGATTAAAACCACACAGAAAGTGTGGGACAGCAAGGCAGCTATATCTAACTGGTGACAGTATGCTTGTGTTCGCCTGGTCCAATGGAATCAAACCCTGGAAGGTAATTCTTAAGTTCAAGTCAAAATTATATTTATTATCATTATACATTTAAGAAAAAAATAAGTCTTTAATTGCAAATGACTAATGAATTATTAAGGCATCCAATTTTATTTAGCTCTGTTAAAAGTGATATCTCTGTTAAAAATCACAGTCTTGTACTATAAGACCAGAGAGTTCAGGCTGTGTCTGACCTATAATTTTGTCCCATGACTAGCATGGTGCCTGGAATATGGAAAGTGCCTAATCAATACCTTGTGAATACTGGAAAGAGTGCAAAGTGGGAGAAAGACCTAAGGGATGGAGGAAGTTAGCCACCACCACTACCACAATGCCACTCTGTGGAGACAGAGAACACCTGCAATGAAGAGATAAGTTTTTACAATATTCAGTATCTGGGTCAATGTCTACAAGCCATTAATGACTTCTTTGAAACATCATAACATGAAGGGAAAGGAAGATAAATATTGCTTTCTTTACTGTCCTATCTTGAAATGTGCAAGTTCATTAACTTAGGGCTGTATCTTTCCTGTGTCTCTTAAAGCTACCATAAACAGAATCTCTGTTTCTTTGTTACCAAATAGGCTATGATCACAGGATAGAAGGGTAAATAGAATATCTATCTATCTAATCAATCAATCAAACTAGGGAGAAAATAATTTGAGGACATATTTTTCTTCTTCCTCAAAATAAATGACTACACACTCATTTGTGTTGTTATGAATTAAGACTGCACACTAATATTTGTTGCATAGAGTAATGAATACCACCATAGTTTAGAGAGAATATGATGAAATGCATATCAGATGGAGAAGTTAGTATTCTTCATTCAAAATAATATTTTTTGTGACATTTATAAAGAAAGTCTAATATTCTTAACAGAATATTAGAATCAGGTATTTTAATAGAGGTGAAGCTACACAAATGACCATCTCCTTTATGATTTGGAGAGAGCTAGTTAATCCCACAGGACTTCATGGGAAGGGATAGAACCAACCTTCTGCAAACTTGCATCTTTATTGAGCAAAGTGATCTCATACATGCGTAACTGCATCTGAAAAGAAACAAAGTTAGCAAAGGCCACTGGGACAAGTGAACTCAGTACCAACGCAACCAGTGGTGGGCTTCAGACCACACCAGAGCTCAACCCAACTAGCCACACATGTGGAATACCCAAAGGGGGATTCTGGCAGGCATCAGACCCTGTTGGGAACAACTCTACCATGGTGGGGAGCCCCTGCACAGTGACTTGTACATGGTGATTGAGATCTATCCTTATAGTCAGCCAGCCTGAGGGTTAACACCTCCCACAAATGGGCTAACAGTATTCAAAACTCAACTACAACAAGAGGGTGCACATAGCCCACACAAAAGACATTCCTGGACCACCTAGCTCAGGTGAGCTAGAAGATTACACCACCGAGTCCCACAAGACACCTACATCATAAAGCCATCAAAACAAGTTTGAGAGTCATAGCAGATATAACAAATGCACAGAGACAAACACAAAAAGGCAGAAAAATGGGGAGACAAATAAACATGTACCAAATGAAATAACAGGAAAAATCCCCAAAAAAGGAATTTAAAAAATGGGATTAAGCAAGATACAAGGTTCAGAGTTTAAAATCACGCTTATAAGGATGCTCAGTGACCTTAGGGGAAGAATGGATGATCTCAGTGAGAACTTAAATAGATAGTAAGCATTAAAAGGACATAAACACCACCCTGGCTGGTTTGGCTTCATGGTTAGAATGTCGGTCAGCAGACCAAAGAGATCCCGGTTCGGTTCCCGCTAAGGGCATGTACCTCATTTGCAGTTTGTCCCCAGCCCCGGTTGGGGTTGTGTGGATGGCAGCCAGTAGTCCATATGTCTCTCTCTCATCGATATTTCTCTCTCTCTTCTTTCCTCCCCCTCTTCCTCCCACTCTATCTGAAGACAAATGCAAAAATGTCCTCAAGTGAGGATAAAAAAATATAAATAAATAAATAAACAGACATAGAAATCATAAAAAAGAACCAATCATAAATAAAGAAAACAATATCTGAAATAGAAGGAATCAATAGCAGGTTAGATGAAGCAGAGAACTGAATCAGCAATTGTGAAGACAAGATACCAGAAAACACCCAAGCAGAGCAACAAAAAGAAAAGGGAATTAAAAAGAAAAGAAAAGAAAAGTCTAAGGAACCTCTGGGACAACATCAAGCATAACAACATTCACATGATAGGGGTACCAGAAGGAGAAGAGAGTGAGCAAGGGATCAAGAATCTGTTTGAAGAAATAATGGCTGAAAATTTTCCTAACCTGGTGAAGAAAAAGGCATACAAGTCCAGAAAGCACAGAGAATACCAAACAAGCTGAACCCGAAGAAGCCAACACCAAGACAAATCATAATTAAAATGGCAAAATTTAAACATAAAGAGAGAAGCTTGCCTAGCCCAAGTGGCTCAGTATATTGAGTGTTGCTCCATGGACTGAGAGGTCCCAGTTTGATTTCTAGTCAGGGCACAGCCTGAGTTGCAGGCTTGATCCCCAATAGGGGATGTGCAGGAGGCAGCCAATTGACATCTCTCCCCCTTCTCTCTCTCTAAAAAATCAATAAAAACATATTTTAAAAAAGAGAGAGAGAATCTTAAGAGCAGCAAGAAAAAGAGTTACCCACAAGGAGCTCCTATAAGGCTGTCAATTGATTTCTCAACAGAAACATTACAGGCCAGAAGGGACTGGAATGAAATTTTCAAAATGATGAAAAGCAAGGACCTACAACCAAGACTGTACCCCACAAGGTTATCATTTAAAAGCAATGGTGAAATGAAGAGCTTCCCAGACAAAAATAGCTACAGGAATTCATTACTCCCAACCCAATATTGCAAGAAATGTTAAAGGGCCTTCTTTAAGAAGAATAAAAAAGTGAGGGGAGGAGAAAGAAAAAGAAATAGAGAAAGAGAAAAGAACATAGGTATAAAGAATGAAATGGCAATAAGTAAGTACCTATCAATAATTTTAAATGTAAATGAATTAAATGCTCTAATCAAAAGACATAGGGTAGTTAAATAGATTAAAAAAAAAAAAAAAACCATATATATAATGTCTACAAGAGACCCACCTCAAAACAAAAAATACATAAAGACTTAGAGTAGATAGATGGAAAAAGATATTCCAGGCAGGTGGAAGCCTATATATATGTATACTGGGATTGCAATTAGACTTCAAAACAAAGGCTGTAATAAGAGACACAGAGGATATTATATAATACTTAAGGGATCAATCCAATAAGATGATATAAACCTTGTACACATATATGCACCCAACACAGGAGCACCTAAATATATAAAGAAAGTCTTGGTAGACATAAAGGAAGAGATTGACTCTAATGCAGTCATAGTAGGGGATTTTAACATCCCATTGACATCAGTGGATAAATCTTCCAGAAAAAAAATGAGCAAGACAACAGAGACCTTAAACAGCACACTGGACCAGATGGAATTAATTGATATTTTTAGAATGTTTCATCCAAAAGCAGCAGAATATATATTCTTTTCTAGTGCACATGGAATATTCTCTAGGATAGATCACATGTTGGGACACAAAAAAAAGTCTTAATAACTTTAATAGGATTGAAATCATATCAAGCAACTTATCTGAACACAATGTTATGAAGCTAGAAATCAATTACAATAAAAAAAAAAAACTGACTAACAAACCTCAAGGGATGCAGGGGGAGGTGTGGGAGGGGTGGAAAGAGATAAACCAAATAACTTATATGCATATACACACAACCAATGGACACAGACATTAGGTTGAAGAAAGCAGCGGGGGGGTAGGAGTAGGAGGAGGGGGGTCAATGGGGAAAAGGGGGCGACATCTTTAATACTTTCAACAATAATAAAAAAAAATAACACTCAAACACATGGAAGCTAAATAACATGTTACTAAACAATGTATGAGTCAACAATGAATTTCAAAAAGAAATTAAAAAAGACCTTGAAACAAACAAAAATGAGAACAACCCAAAATCTATGGGACATGGCAAAAGCAGTCCTAATACAGAAATTCATAGTGTTACAGGCCTACCTGAAGAAGCAAGAAAAACCTTAAATAATCATTCTAACCTTACATATAAAAGAACTAGAAAAAGAACAACTAACAAAGTCCAGAATAAGTAGAAGGAAGGAAATAATAAGGATTAGAGCACAAATAAATGACATGAAGACGGAAACATCAACACAAAAGATCAGTGAAACCAAGAACTGGTTATTTTAAAAGATAAACAGGATTGACAAACCTTTAACCAGACTCGTCAAGAAAAAAAGAGAGAGGGCTCAAATAAATAAAATCAGAAATGAAAGAGGAGTAACAACTGACACCATAGAAATATAAATGGTTGTAAGAAAATATTATGAACAAGAGTGTACCAATAAATTGGACAGTATGGATGAAATGGATAAATTCCTAGAAACATACAACCAAAAACTGAATCAGGAACACTCAGAAAATCTGAACAGCTCAATTATAACTAATGAAATCAAAGCAGTAATAATAATAATTATTAAAAAAAAAACTTTCAGTAAACAAAAGTCCTGGACTAGATGGCTTCACAGGCAAATTTTACTGATCACTTAAAGAATTAATACCTATTTTTTTCAAACTATTCAAAAAAATTCAAGAGGAGGTAAGACTCCCAAACTCACTATACAAGGTCAGAATTATCCAAATTTCAAAACCAGATAAAGACACTACAAGGAAAGAAAATTATAGATCAACATCCCTGATGAACATAGATGCTAAAATCCTCAACAAAATTAGCAAACCAGATCCATCAATACATTAAAAAGACCATACACCACGATTAAGTGGGACTTATTCTGGGGATGTAAGGTTGGGATAATATCCACAAATCAATAAATGTCATACACCACATAAACAAAACGAAGGTTAAAAACACATGATTATATCAATAGATGCAAAAAAAAAAAAAAAAAAGCATTGGACAATATCCAACACCCATTTATGATAAAAGCTGTCAGCAAAGTGGGATCAGAGAGAACATTCCTCAACATAAAAAGCCATATATGACAAACCCACAGCCAATATCATACTGAATGGGCAAAAACTAAAAGCAGTTTTCTTAAGATCAGGAAAAAGACAGGGATGTCCACTTTCACCACTGTTATTTCACACAGTACTGGAAATCCTAACCATAGCAATCAGATAAGAAGAAATAAAAGGCATCCAAATTGGAAAGGAAGAAGAAAAACTGTCATTGTTTGCAGATGACATGACACTGTATATAGGAAATCCTAAAGACTCCACCAAGAAACTGATGGAACTGATAAATGAATTCAGTAAAGTAGCAAAATACAAAATTAATATTGAGAAATGGGTGGCATTTTTATACACCAATAATGAACTATCTGAAAGAGAAACTAAAAACACAATCCTACTTACAGCTGCAACAACAACAACAACAAAAAAGGTACCTAGGAATACATTTAAACAAGGAGGTAAAAGACCTGTACTCAGAAAACTACAGGACATTGAGAAAAAAAAAATAGAGGAAGATCCAAACAAGGAGAAGCATATACCATGTTCACGGATTGGAAATATTAATATCATTAAAATGTCCATACTACTCAAAGTAATCTATAGATTCAACACAATTTCTATTAAAATACCAATGGCATATCTCACAGAACTAGAATAACTATTTCAAAGATGTGTATAGAGGCACAAAAGACCCTGAATAGCCTCAGCAATCTTGAGAAAAAAGAACAAAGTTGGAGGTATCATGCTACCTGATATCAAACTGTACTACAAGACCACAGTAATCAAAACAGCATGGGACTGACATAAAAATAGACATGATGATCAGTGGAACAGAATAGAGAGCCCCAGAATAAACCCTCACCTTTATGGTCAATTAATGTTTGACAAAGAAGGCAAGTACATACAATGCAGTAAAGACAGTATATTCAAAAAATGGTGTAGGGAAAATTGGATAGGTACATATATAAAATTGAAACTAAATCACCTCCTTACAACATACACAATAATAAACTGAAAGTGGATTAAAGACTTAAATGTAAGTCATGGAACCATAAAAATTCTATTAGAAAGCAGGCAGTAAAATCTCAGACATTTCTAGCAGCAATATATATATTTTTTCTGATATACTTTCTGGAGAAAGAGAACAAAATAAAAAAGAAAGCAAATGGGACTACATCAAACTGAAAAGCTTTTGCACAGCAAAGGAAACCAAAAAAATGAAAAGACAACCCACTGAAACCCTAGCACACTGCTGGTGAGAATGCAGACTGATGCAGCCACTATGGAAAACAGTATGGAGTTTCCTCAAAAAATTAAAAATGGAACTGCCATTTGACCCAGTGATTCCACTTCTAGGAATGTATCCTAAGAATCATGAAACACCAATCAGAAAGAACATATGCACCCCTATGTTCATAGCAGCATTATTTAAGGGCTATTGTAAATACATTTACACAATAATACATTTACACAATGGAATACTATGCAGCTGTAAAAAAGGAAGGATCTCTTACCCTTTGAGACAGCATGAAGGAACCTAGAGAGTATTATGCTAAGGGAAATAAGCCAGTCAGAGAAAGACAAGTATTACACAATCTCATTTATATGTGGAATCTACTGAACAAAATAAACTGACAAACAAAATAGATCCAGAGACATGGAAGCATGGAACAGACTGACAGACCTTGGGGGAGGAGGGGAGATGCAGGAAGAGATTAACCAAAGAACTTATATGCATGTATGCATAACCCATGGACACAGACAATAGTGTAGTGAAGGCTGGAGGGGAGGTACAGGAGCAGGGTAGAGGGGGTCAATGGGGGCAGGGAGAGGGGACATCTGCAATGCTTAAAAAAATCAAGATAAATTACAAAAAATACAACCCACTGAATGGGAGAACATATCTGTCAATGATACATCTGATAAGAGATTAATACAGAACTTTTTTAAAGAACTTATACAATTCAACACCAAAAAAACAAACAATTAAACAAAGGGCAAGGACATGAGTAGACACTTCTTCAAAGAGGACATACAGATGGCTAGTAGATATAAAAAGATGTTCAACATAACTAATCATCAGAGAAATGCAAATTAAAACCACAATGAGATATCATCTCACACCTGTCAGAATGGCCGCCATCAATAAACTAACAAACAAGGGTTGGCGAGGATATGGAGAAAAGGAACCCTTGTGCACTGTTGGTGGGAATGCAGATGGGTGCAGCCACTGTGGAAAACAGTATGGACTTTCTTCAAAAATTAAAAATGAATTGCCTTATGGCCCAGTGATTCCACTACCGGGAATATATCTGAAGAAACATGAAACACTAATTTAAAAGAATACATGCACCCCTATGTTCGTTGCAGCTTTACTTATAATAACCAAGGTACAGAAGCAACCCAAGTGTCCATCAGTAGATCAGTGAATTAAAAATCCACTGGCTGGTGTGGCTCAGTGATTGAGCGTCATCCCATGCACCAAGAGGTCGCTGGTTTAATTCCCAGTCAGGGCACATGCCCAGGTTGTGGGCCAAATCCCCAGTTGGGGGATGGGGCATGCAGGAGGTGCTCAATCAATGTTCTCTCTCATTGGTGTTTCTCTCTCTCCCTCTCCCTTCCTCTCTCTCAAATATCAATAAAGAAAAACATTTTTAAAAATCCATGGTACAATGGAATATTACCCAGACAGCATGGATGGACCTGGAGAGTATTATGCTAAGTGAAATAAGCCAGTACCATATGATTTCACATATATGTAGAATCGAATGAACAAAAATAAAGTAAAAAACAAAATAGAAACAGACTTATAGAGGCAGAGAACAGACTGACACTATCAGAGGGAAGGGGTTGCGGGTTGGCTAAAAAAGAGAAGGGATTAAGCAAAAAATGAAGACACAAAACACAGTGTGTCGAACACAGATTACCAGAGGGCAAGAGGGGGGGGGGAGGAAGAGGGCAAGGGGGAGATAAATGGGGCTGAAAGAGACTTACCTTGGGTGGTGATAGCATGATGCACGTGCTGATGATGTGTTATAGACCTGTACGCTTGGAATCAGTATGACTTTGTTAACCGATGTCACCCCAATAAACTCAATAAAAAATAAAAATATAGCCCAGCTGGTGTGGCTCAGTGGCTGAGTGTCGACCCATGCACCAAGAAGACACCGGTTAGATTCCCGGTCAGGGTACATGTCCAGGTTGTGGGCCTGATCCCCACTGGGGGGCGTGCAGGAAGTGGCCAGTCAATGTTCTCTCTCATCGATGTCTCTACCTCTCTCCCTCTCCCTTCCTCTCTCTCTAGAATCAATAAAGAAAAATTATTAAAAAATAAATAAATAATAAAATTGGTTTTGATGATGGTGAACATACTAAAAAAAACACTGACTTGTACATTTTAAATGGGTGAATTTAATGGCATGTGTAATATTTATCAGTAAATCTGTTATATTAAAAAACAGAAATTGCCCTATATACGACTCAAATATCTTGAGAAGTACAAATTTTAAAATTTATAGCAAAACATGATTATATCAATGAGCCATATACACCATTATAGAGTAATAACAACTCAGTGGAAGAAAATGTTTTACCAGTATTTGGGAAGTGCTTACTTGGTGCTCTGCCTCAGTTTTAGACAATTCCTCAATATTTTTTTCCAATGCATATATATCCATAATATTCTTGGTATTCTAATGCAAAAAAAAAAAAAAAAAAAAAAAAAGACAGTATTCTTAGATTTAGTCCAAAAATAAAATAAGAGAACAGCACAAAGTCTTTTTTAGGAAATAGTATTTTCATCATTATCATCATAATCTATTTTAAACTAAGGGACAAAACTTTAGATTTTGTCCAAAAATAACCTGAGCCTTTGAACTTGACCATCTAGGAAGTCCCTCATTGTCTTACATTCCACCACAGCCATTCAGCCCTAGTCACACCCTTTACACTTGTCATTACCAGCAACTGTGGCCCTTTTATTATATTGACTGCAAGCGCCTCCCTCTTCATCCACTACTACTTGTCCTTCCAGATTACTTCTTTGAGCACCAACAAACCTTCAATCCACACTGAGACCCACAACCCACTGATCTGACCACCTTCTCATTATTTTTCCACTTTTCTTGTGACCTCAGTCTCCTCTTCACTCAGCTTAAATTTTTCTGTGGTCAATTATTATAGTCACACTCTTCCACGTCCTCTCAATTCCCTTTCCACTCCCCTACTTCTTAGTATTTGCTTAATTTCAGCTTGCCGTTCACTCTGTGCCAGCACCCTTTCAGATAAACATTGCTAAAGAAAAACTCAATTGAACCAATAGCTCACATGTTAAATCTATAACCTTTAACTTCAGTGTTGACTGGTGATATCATATAATCCTACTCTGTTCATCTGGCCATTTGCCCAAAACAGAGATTTGCAAACTACACTAACTTCCCCACCCCAACCACACAAACCAGCTCTAGCGGGCCCCCTGGTTTTGTAAATAACGTTTTATAAGAACACTGCTGAGTCCATTTGTTTTCATATTATCTCAAGTTGCTTTCACACTACGATGGCAGACGTGAGTGATTGGGACAAACACTTTTTAGCCAGGCAATCCTTAAAATATTTACTATCAGATCTTCTACAAAACATTCGCCAACTCCTCACTTATTTTACCCCTGTTCCCTCCTTCAACTTCCAAGACCTCTTCCAACATCCTCACTCTCAGTAGATAACTTTGCTTTGTATTTCACTGAGACATTAGAAACAATAAAAGAAAACTTCCACGTTACTGGAATATATATTAAACACCTTTGGATATATTATAAGGCGTTTGCTGATCTGTATCCTGCCCTCCACCACCACTGTTCATTGCTTCAATCTAAGCCTCCACCAGCTTTTGCCTGGATTATTACAAGGGCTTCCTAACCGGTCTCCAGCTTCCACCACACTCAGTGTAAACTGGAGTCCATACAATGCTCATATGAGACCCTGTGTGTCTGGCTCCCGGCAGCTCTCTGCCAAACCTCCTGCTACTTGTTCCGTCTGCTCTGGCCACACTGTCCATGCCGTCCCTCACGAACAGCAAGCAGGCTACCGCCAGAGGTCTTCGAGCTTGCGGTGTCCTTTGCTTAGAATGCTCTTCCACAGATAAACCTCCTTTCCCACTTTTAACCAAATGATTAATTTCACAGTGCACTTCTATCCTAACCACCTTCATTTACATTGCACTCCCCAACAATTCTGTTTTCACTTTTCTTTTCTCCATAGTACCAGTCACCATCTAACGTGCTAGCTCCACATGGGCTATTTTGCTGAAGTTTGTCTCTCAGCATCTAGCAAAGTGCTTTGCACATAGAGGTCTCCCAATGAATATGTGTTGAATGAACGGATGAAAGAATGAATATGAATAACCACCCAAACCACTGTGCTGTTACTCTTCACAGTGCTTCAGATTTTTGCCTCCTGAAAGAATCTTAGCTAGCAGTGACATGCACGTGCCTTTTCTAATGTAAATCAGTAACTGCAATGCTGTGTCAGGACGAAGGGTTCTAAATCTCCGTCCTTCCATCTTCAATCTGAACTGCTTTGGTGATGCTTTGATGCTAGTCAGTCATCTTACAGATGAGGAGAAAAACATCTTACATTGAGAGCTTAATTGTAAAGCACTAGTTTCTATAGCTATAAAATGTCTGAATCTATTGTAGGGTTTCTTGTCAACCTTTAATTGTTCCTTTCCAACCCACTATAGAATGTTTTACATGTCCACTTGGCCTATATTTTGGTTAACTCTCCAGATTGTGCATCACAGCTTACTAAACACCTCTGATAAAAAGGCCAAATTTTAAAATGTACATAACACTCAACACTCAAAAGGTACCTACACAGAATTTCTCTCCAAAATAGTAACTTACTAGTACCTTTGTCACCTATTCTTTCAATACTTTAGTTCTGTTGCTTAAAAATATACATTGCACAGAATTATCCATTTTTTAGAGATTTTACTTATATTTACTAATATATATGAGGTACATTATAATTAAACAAATGGGTTCACATGCATTCTCTTAATCTCTAAAATAACTGAGGGAATAGGTATTATTAACTCAAAAATGATAAATAGCTTTTCTGTGGTCAGACTTTCAGTGAATTTAAGATCTGGGTCTTGGACACAAGACTTCTGCCACCTATTTCAATAGAATAATAACAGGAAGTTATTAGATGATACCTACACTTTCTTGATATTTATAGTTTTTAGATGTGTTAACTTGACTAACATCTCAAATCTGAATTCTTCGAATCCCATTTCTTCCATGGTTGTATACAAAGATAATAACCTTCTTCTGTCCAGACATGAACACCCCATCCACTCTCCCTCATTTATCTTTGACAAGTCAACCTCGATTTTCGCCAATAGGAGTCTGAATACTTTCTATTTAGGCCAGGGGTCTCCCAATGAACATGTGTTGAATGAACGGATGAAAGAATGAATATGAATAACCACCCAAACCACTGTGCTGTTACTCTTCACAGTGCTTCAGATTTTTGCACTGGACCCACGATTGTATGATTCCATATGTTCATCTGTGACATGTTTAATGCTTGCAACATACCTCCTCCTGGAGAATCCGAATCTTTAGAATCAGAGCCCGGTTTTCTGTCTCCTGATTCATTAAAGAAAAAGTAATTTTAAAATATTTGAGAAGTTTATGAAAATACCACATGGTCACCTCTAAGACTATCAACATTCTTTCCCTTTATTAACGTCTAACTATGGCATTGACATGTCACAAATGAGCCTAGTCTGAAAATATTTTCAGTACGGGGTTAAGTCTTTGGCTTCCAGTTTCTTGGGATCTATGAGAAGTCACTCTACTCCTTGACTCAGAGAGGAAAGAGGAAAAACAAAGAAGGAAGAGCCTGGCTTCTTTCCCTGCAGTATACTTACCACCACCCACTTATGACAGGTAGTAGGAATTCATCTATTTAAACAGCACTTTGAAATCACAAAGCAATCTAGCTTCCTACTTGAAGCTGTTGTTGATATTCCCAGATTCAACATTACCAGAACATATGATTATTAAAAACTATTTTATAATTAAGAGCTCCAAATTCAGAAACTTCAGAAGAAAAAAAAAAATTCCAGGATAAAATATATGCCAAAATGTCAACAATAAATCTTGTGGATACAGTAGGAGAAGAATTTTGTGGGATTTTTTTGTTGATATGTATTTTCTTATTTTTATAGAGTAAAGAGGTATTACCTTTATGATATAAAAATAAAAGGGAGCCCTGGCTGGTTTGGCTCAGCAGTTAGAGCGGTGGCCTGCGGTCCGGAGAGACCCGGGTTCGGTTCCCGCTAAGGGCGTGTACCTCGGTTGCAGTTTGTCCCTGGCCCTGGTTGGTCGTGCGGGTGGCAACCACTCGATGTGTCCCTTTCACGTCGATGTTTCTCTTTCTCTCTCTCTTTCTCTCTCTCTCTCTCTCTTCCCTTCTCTCCCTCCCACTCTACCTGAACAAAAAGTGGAAAAATGTCCTTGGGTAAGGATAAAAAATAAAAATAAAATAAATAAAAATAAAAGGGAAAACGTGTCAGGCTGGAATGTCATTGGTACAAGAACGAAGGAACACATACCCCACTTAATTGGAATCAGAAGACCTGAGTTCAATTCTAGCTTTATCATTTATTAGACAATTGACTTTGAATAATCAAAACATCTCTGAACTCTACCTATAATTCTATTAATTTTTAATGAAAAATGGCTATTTCTGTTTCTGCCTCACAGAATTTCTATGGTAACCAATGAAATAAAATATTCTAAATTCTTTTAAAATTGAAAACATTATAAAATGCAAAGGATTAGGATTGTTTATCTATGACTCTGCATGTTTAATAACAGCTAACATCCAGCCCAAGGAGGATAGAGGACATTGACCACTTTACGTGTATTTACTCATAACCCTCCCAGCCCTAGGATCTCAGGACACTAAGGCTAAACGAGGTTATGTGGTTTGCCTCAAGTTCCACAGCACCGGGAGTCAGGACTTGACTGCTGGCCACCTGACTTTCAAGGATGGGCTCTTGATAATTTCTCTCCATTGCCTTCATGTAAAAGCTGCTCATGGGCCCCAAATTTCCTATAGTGCATTCATAGAGACACCTGACACTCACCGAGTCTAGTCCCCACATTTTACTGTTGAGGTAAGAGCTAAGCTATGTTGGTTGTGGGAGGTCACAAGTAACTGACAAAGGCCTGGAGTCCAAGTCCTCTGATGAATTACAGACCTAAAAGAAATTAGTCAGAATGACTTCCAGCTGACCCCTACCATCATTAGCGATGCTAGAATTCTGCTGCTGGAATATATTAGGATTTTGAAGATTATTACTAAAGCTCTAGATAACAGGTCTAATTTCTCAATAAGAATGATTATGTACTTTGTCAGTTGAGTTAAAGCTTAGTCTTAATGGCAATTTACTCTAAAAATTACAAGCCTGTGCTTATTTAGTATAAGGACTATTTATGGAGCTTCTTAGTAATCTAGAAGTGTTGAGAAAACAAATTTTTTTTAATTGAGAAAAAGTTGAAAGTTGGAGAGAGAATTCCTTTTTTTTAGAAAATGCAAGTGGTTTTTAGTATCAGGTATTTATGAATTCACCTGTCAACTTCAAGAGGCATTCCAGAAACCTTCTAGATTTTCACAAACCATTGTGAATGTGACCAAGCGATTTGTAAACGATTTTAATCTTCATTGAAAAGGAAAACATAGGTTTTTATTCTATCTACCTTAACTTTTCTAAGATGTTACTATTATTCATTTATCAGCCTCTTGACTGACTTTTACCTCCAAGTAAACCCTCTTGGGGTTTCAAGATACTTGGATGACTTACTAATTGTTTGTTCTGGGCTACCACTGTGGTCTTCTGCTCTTCTGAAGCACTCATACTAGTTTTCAGTTCCTCTAGTTCTTCTTGTAACAGACTTGTTCTCATAATAGCCTGGTGGGCACTGTGAAGGTGGGGGTGGGGGAGAAGGCCATGAGCAAAACCTCAAATATAACTGTTAAACATACTAAAAAAAGCCAAGGACTATTTTTGGAGCCAAGTTGCAAACCACTGAAAATAGAAACCAGATGCCAACAATAGTAAAAATATACCCACTATCTTTCATAGTTCTTGAAAAAGGAAGAGTTTTGGGGGCGGTGTTGAGGTGGTGGTGGGGGGAATGAAAGAAGAAAAAAAAACCTGTTTCTGAAGATAAAGATTTGGAGACTCCCTTTGAAAGCCTCATTAGCAGAATCTCACAGTTCTTTCCTTCTACTAATAAGATGCAATAGTAGTTAATGCAATTCCATAAATATTTATTGAATAATACCATGTTCTAGGTGTTGTACCCCGTAAGGGGGCCTGTGATGGTAGGCAAAAGAGACATGATCCTTGCCCTTATAGAGGTCAGTACTAGTGAAGGAGATGACAACTGAATGAATGGTTTCTACAAGATATACTTTATTTTATAAGTTTATTGTAGCATTGTTTACAGTAACAAAGCATTGGAAACAATCCAAATGTCCAACAAAGAAAACCTCTTAAATGTACTATGGTAATCCACATCATAGAATTACCTGGTTGTACTCCCACTAGATTATAAACTGGTTTCTGAGCAGGGTCTCAATGAAGGTACAATTTTTACCTTATTAAAGAATTACATTGGTCATTCAACAAATGTTTATTGAGCTCCAACTCTGTGCCAGGCATTCTGCTTGATACTGGAGATGAAAAAAATAAACCCTATCCTCCTGAAGTTTATGGTCTAGTAGAATAAATAGACAATTATAATTACAATACTGTGCGATAAGAACCAAGGTTGGAGTGAACCCAAGTTCTGCAGACACTGTGTAAAAGGCAGGCAGTTAAGATCGCGAGAAGGAAGAAGAGGAAGGGAGAGAGAGCAGAAGCTCAATGAGGGGCTATAAGCAGTTAGATATTGTTGCAGCCTAGAGTGGAAAACGGGAACTGGAAATAAAGTAACAGAAGTCCCATCATAACAGACTAGATGAAGGAACTTGGATTTTATCCTGAATACTGTAGGGCTCCACTGACGTGTTTCAAGCAGAGGCGTGAAGTAGTCTGACTGGCCTTTAGAAAGAGCATTCCCGTGGACACGTTTTGGGAAATCAGCAGGTTGCTCTTGTGATCCAGGTGACTTGAACTACGTGGCAGATATAGGAATGAAAAGAAGTAATCTATTGGAGAGATATAAAGTAGGCAAATTGAACAAGACTTGCTATTTGATTTAGAAGTGAAGGCTCAGGGAAGAAAAAGAAGACACAGATTTCTGGCGTGCAGGCAATCAGAAGTACGGGAGAGCTATTCTGTGGAAGACATTCTACTAGGCACTAGGGTAACCAGGATGGGTAAGATCAAGTTCCTGCCATCAACAAGGGCGCGGCTAATATAGAAGGCAAATTATGCTATGGCAAATCAGTTGCACAGTATCAAAAATAGGCTGTGAGCACCGAAAGGAAACAGAGGCCCTTTCAGAAGGATGAGAGGAAGGAGAAAAGAGGACAAAAGGCTTATTTTATAGACATTCTGGCTGCTCACCTAGATTCTCTAGCCTTTCTGTCCTGTGAGTAACTCAATTCCCGTCTAACACATTTCTTGACTGCTTCGGTTAACCAGAGTCAGTTCGCGGTGCTTGTAACCAAAAGCCCTGACTGGTACATTCATCCAAGGCATAGTTTTTAAAAAGAAACTTTGAATTCTTATATTTCACATAAGTAATAAATAAGCTGATTGTGGAATGGCGAGAGCTTGAGGTAAGCACATTTTTAAATTTTATACATTGGTTAGGAAGTTGGACTGCCTGGTCCAAAAATGATAAGCATCTATGGTCAGGATGCTTTACCATCTTTTCAAGTGAACTTAAAACTTTTCTGTTCAGAATATTAGCAGCTACATCTTAAACACGACTTTGTGAGAACCTGTTGTTTTTTCCCTGATGCTCAAGCATCTCCTTGGAACCCACTGTACCAATTTTTGACACTTCATCTGGTACATCTCTTAGGTCCTTTGGTCCCTTCCATTTTAAGCTAAAGGTCAGGAACTTTCTTATCACCCTTCTAGAGTATAAGTACCCTGAAGGCACATTTTATATCTGACTCACCAATAAATCTCTCATAATACTTAGAATGGGACTTAGCATAGAGTAAGAGCTCAACCAAACCACAGAACTGCTTTGAATAGGTTCACACCTGGCCCCCACGTAAAATAGTCATATGTGGAGGACACTGCCTTGAATGACATAGAGAACATTATGGTTAAAAAAGAACAAATAAACACTGTTCATGTTAATATAAAATGGTTCAGCTGCTCAGCCGGTGTTGCTCAGTGGTTGAGCGTCAACCCATGCACCAAGAGGTCACCAGTTCAATTCCTGGTCAGGGCACATGCCCAGGTTGTGGGCCAATCCCCAATGGGGGGCATGCGGGAGGCGGCCAATCAGTGTTCTTTCTCATCAATGTTTCTGTCTCTCTCCCTTCCTCTCTCTCTAAAATCAATAAAGAAAAAATATTAAAAAATAAAAAATAAATAAATAAAATGGTGCAGCTGCTTTGGAGAATGGTTTGGCAGCTTCTTAAAATGCTAAGTATAGATTACTACCCAGCAATTCCACTCCTAGGAATAAACCCAAAAGAACTGAAAACATGTCTACACAAAGTCCAGTACACAAATGTTCATAGTAGCAATAGTCATAAGAGCCAAAAGTAGAAATAACCCAAAAATCCATCCTCTGAAGAATGAATAAACAAAATGGCCTATATCCATACAATGGATTGTTCTTTAGCCATAGAAGGGAATAAAGTGGTGATACGTGCTATAACATGGGTGAGCCTTTAAAACATTGCTAAGTGAAAGAAGTTACTCACAAAGGGCATGTACTGTATGATTCCAGTTATATGAAGTGACTAGAATAGGCAAATCCATAGAGACAGAAAATTCATTAGTGGTTGCAAGGTACTGAGGCAGAGGGAAATGGGGAGTGACTGCTAACTGGTGCAGGATTTCTTTTTGGAGGAATAAAAATGTTCTAGCCCGGCCAGTGTGGCTCAGTGGTTGAGCGTCAACCCATGCACCAAGAGGTCGCCAGTTTGATTCCTGGTCAGGGCATGTGCCCAGGTTCTGGGCCCAATCCCCAGTGGGGGGCATGCAGGAGGCAGCCAGTCAATGTTATCTCTCATCAATGTTTCTATCTCTCTCTTTCTCTTCCTTCCTCTCTCTCTAAAATCAATAAGAAAAAAAAAATGTTCTGGAATTAGATCATGATGATGGCTGCACAACCTTGTGAATACACCAAAAAATTATGAGTGCTACACTTTAAAATGTAAATTTCAGGCTATATAAATTATATTTTAATAATATAAGTAAGAAAACAAAAAACAACTGAAAGCTCCCAGCACACAGTACCCCACAATGGCTCACCTTTTTATCTGAAGGCGCAATTCAGTACAGTCCTCTGATAACTGGCTGTTAGCTTCTTCCAAGGTTTCCAATGCCAAGCTAAGCTTATTATTTTCCTCCTCCAATTTCTGCTTGTTGAAATGCAGATCTGCTACATAGGTAATCAAGTCAGGCATCTCTCTGCAGATGAAATAAAGAAGAAAAAATATTTTTCAACACGTCTAATCCCTTTTAATCAAAATAAGACATATGGTTAAGCCCAAGCAGGCTTAAATAGTCCTGCAAGATTTTCTACTTTAGCCCTGGCTGATTTGGCTCAGCGGTTAGAGCATCGGCCTGCGGTCCGGAGAGACCCGGGTTCCTTTCCCGCTAAGGGCATGTACCTCGGTTGCAGTTTGTCCCCGGCCCTGGTTGGTCGTGCGGGTGGCAGCCACTCGATGTGCCTCTTTCACGTGGATGTTTCTCTCTCTCTCTCTCTCTTCCTCTCTCTCCCTCCCACTCTATCTGTGCAAAAAAATGGAAAATGTCCTCGGGTGAGGATAAAAATAAAAAAAAAGATTTTCTACTTTATTCTCTTCCAAGCCTCACAAATGGAGTTTATTTAACAACAAACATTTATTTACTCAAGCATTTGTTATAACAGCATCAAAGATTGGCCCAAGATTGCTAGGTCTTCATCATCTGCCAGTTGTCAAGTCAACTTGCACAGCATTTGTTTATTCCTTTCCATTTCACTCCCAACATTTCTCTCCATCCCCCTGAAGGGTTATGGGAGATCCTGAAATAAGTTGACACATTACTCTCTCAGTCAAGGGACCCTGGCAGATATTAATAGGCCTTTAATAGGAAACAGTTCTTAGAGTCTCACATTTGTAGCCTGTACCTCTCAACTTAGTAGTATTCATGTTTCCTGATATTTTCTACAGCTTATTAATGTTTGAGTCACTCTTGCCACTGACATTACATCATAAACTGTGTTTCATGAGCCCCAGGCATCCTCTTCCTCTTTGCCATCTTATCCCAGTTCTTAGCAAAGATTGAGTTCATGGTTTTTAAACCAGGTTTCTGCATGAGGAAACCGGAAGTGGCAAAGATAAACTAATATCTGAAACATACACATTTAGGAAAAACAAACAACAAACAAAACCATCTCTTCTTTTTTTTTTTTCTTTATCCTCACCCGAGGACATTTTTGCATTTATCTTCAGATAGAGCAGGAGGGCACACGAGAGAAAAACATCAATGTGAGAGACACATTGACTGGTTGCTACCCACACGACCCCAACTGGAGCCGGGGACAAACTGCAACCAAGGTACGTGCCCTTAGCGGGAACCGAACCCGGGACTCTCTGGTCCGCCGGCCGATGCTCTAACTGCTGAGTCAAACCAGCCAGGGCCATCTCTTCTTTGTTAAAGAAGTACTTTTAAAATAATTCCTCAAACAGTTTAAGGTCAGTGTTTTAACTCTACTTCAAATGGAATTTGTTTTCCATGCAAACACTTGATACCATGAAGGAGAAGGGTTTCATAACTGAGAAAATGTCAATTATGTAATACTAGTCTTAAATAATTTGTGTTCCTAGTGGAACTAGTTCTAATGCAATTCAGATAAAGTAGTTAAGAGTTAAAAGTAAACGATATTAGACCTGGCCAGTGTGACTCAGTTGGCTGAGTACTGTCCAGTGCACTGAAAGGTCGCTGGTTTGATGTTTCACTTTCTCTCTCTCTTTCTCCCTCTCCCTTCCTATCTCTCTAAAATCAATCTATCTATCTATCTATCTATCTATCTATCTATCTATCTATCTATCTATCTCTTTCTTTTTAAGTAAATGATGTTAGCTCTGCCATAAAAAAAGGGCTAAGTGACTTCATCATAAGTAAAATACATAAATTTATAAAATAAATAATAAAACTTGGGGCACTTGAGAAAGCATGACAACTAAGGATGCTTACAAGACTCCGTTAGACATGTCTCTGCCCAAAGCCTCGAAGCTCCCTGATGCAGACTCCGTTACATCTGTGGTCAGCTGAACTGAAACACATACAACAGACTTTTATGAAAAATCCACTTCTCCAAACCACAAGTAGCAGAACAATCGCAAGGAAACCCATACATACTTGCTCTCCCTGATTTTATGCTGTCCTGTTCAAGAGCAGAATCATCACTGCTGCTGCCTGGTCCGCTATTCACTCCTTCCCTGTAGTCAAAAAACAAAACCTGTGAACTAGGATTCTTTGCCGGACCAGAGCTCAGCTAACTTCTCGAATGTGCTCTGTACTTTCCTATTCAGGTGTTTGTTTCTGGATTTTAAAACTGTCTATTTATTCAGCAACTATTTGAGCCCATCACTGTGCTTAGATAGGGTAATAAAAAAGAAATGTAAGGCAGTAATTCCTTCCACCTTCTGTAACCTATTTTTTTTTTAATTATTAATGTATTTTTTGTTAATCCTCACTCAAGGATATTTTTTCCACTGATTTTCGTTTGTTTGTTTAGAGAGAGTGCAGGGAGCGGGAGAGAGAGAAAAGAAAACATCGATGTGAGAGATTCACATCGATCAGTTTCTTCCTGCAGGACCCTGACCCAGGCTGGGGATTGAACCTGCAACCTAGGTATGTGCCCTTGACTGGGAATCAAGCCCAAGACTCTTTGGTATGTGGGCTGATGCTCTAACCACTGACCCATGCCAGCCAAGGCACCTTCCATAACCTTTTAATCTAACATGAAAAAGAAAATGTGCATGCATAAATAGGTAGGTGATAGCATGCAGCAGTTAGGATTAGGGGACAGGAGATCTCATAGATTAGGAAGCTGAAATCGTTTGGCATGATAAGTGGACATTTGTAGAGGTAGTAAGCCCATGAGCCTTAAAAGATTGGGAAGAAAAAGGCATAAACAACTTCTATTTTGAGATACATTGATGGTGTTATCATTTTCCCTTTCTCATGAAAAATCAAGTTGAAGTAGACTAATTGCACTGTGAGCATTTTACCCTTGAAATTCAGGGACGCCTTTGTCTGGTATACAAACTCAAATAAACAAATTAAAATTTCGATTATTTTTCCAAGTCTCTATACTATGATTTCAGTTTTGTTACTTAATCTTTCTAAATGCCAAATCCTTTCACCATCTCTCTGGAGCAGCCACGGAATTCTCTAAAGTTGTACTTACATCTCATTGTAGTTCACCGTGAGATGTCTATCCAAAGGCGGCTGAGCAGAGTAATTCAGTCAGCGTTCTTACCATGCCTAACTATGCACCCATCACCATCTCTGAGTTTTTGTTCTTACAATTTGTATTTATACCTCCCATGTTGTTTCTTTTTCTATACATGTTATAAAAAGTAGAGTTTTTCTTTTGCCCTTATGCTATTTTATAGATTATTGATGTTTTTATTATATAGTCAAATTTAACTATTTTAGAAAAATGACAAAATTTATGAGAAAAGAGAAAATTTAAAATCATCACACAAAAGACAATAATTTTGGAATATATTCTTTCTAATGTTTTCCTATGCATTTTTTTTTTTACAAATATGGAATTATACATATATGAATTAATGGCCTGTTATTTGAAATACATACATATTACTATTTATCTTGTAAAATATTTACCTAATTATAATTTTGAGTGACTATTTAGGATTCTAATGTATGAAAGTATTATAATTTATTTGTCCAACCCTCTATCTTTAAATATTTAGGTTGCTCCTATTTTTCACTATCATTAACAGCATTGCTGACAAATATTAGAGTACATAATTGGTTATTTTCCTTAAAGTTGCATTATTAGCTCAGACACATTGCTTATTTTTAAGGGTTTAGTACACATGCCTAAATTGCTCATGAAAACAACTGTACCAACCTACACTACACCAAAAATGTATGAGAGTGGGCGTCATTCTCTACCTGCCCTGATGACATGGGATAGAGGGATTTTTTAAAAACTTTGCTAAACTAATGGGCAAAAATGGTACATTGTCTTTATGTGCATTTTTTGATTACTAGTAAGATGAGATATTTTTATATATTTATCTTGCTTTCACAGTGAACTCATGTATGTCAAACACCATTTCAGTTATTTTTTCTTAAGTCCTATATCCTAACCGTATGTGAAATATAGCAAGTTTTGCCACTCTTTGGGCTTGAAGTTTTCTTTAAGCAAACCCCTAATACCGATGAATCGATAGCTAGATTAGTGGCTGAGTAAGAGCCTCAGGAATCTGGCTTCCTGTGAAGAAGGTGACCCTTCTCCAGTATCTACCAGGGCACCTGAGATCATGGTGCCTTTCTCCATCATAATTTTTTCTATTCCACTGTGTTTTTCCTTTCCCCCTTCGCCTCCCTATACTGTATTTGAAGCTTCTAAATTACACTCACTACCTAAACACCCCTACTAACCTCAAAAGGGTGTTCACTCTGAGTTTAATTTGGAGATTTGGTGGTCAGTATCACTAATTCGCTTGACTTCAATGCCAGCTCAATTCTTTGTGAGAACATAATATGCGCTGCCCCCTAGTCACAATAAATGAATGTTAACAGAATTAATGTAGTTAACATAATAGAGTCTCAAAGTGTGCACATCATCAGCATCACCGTTAGAAACGCAGATTATTAGGCTTCACCTCAGACAGACTGAACCATGGTGGTGATAGGGTAAGGGCACTGGCCAACAATCAGGCAGATAGTGTTCAGGTGATTGCAATGCATGCTAAAAGTGTGAGAAGCACCAGATTACATCCTTTCCACCAACAAAGAAAATAGTGATTAGCATTCCTTGCAGTCAGTTGTTGAAACAGCCTGAAAATGCTTCCTGCTGGTTACCGTTTGTTTCCACAGCAAGCCACCCATTCTCGCACGACGGCATGGAATGTCTCCAGATCCACCTGCAGGTCTCTCTTCTCAGGATCAACCATGTTCCATAGCTCCTCGAAGACTCCATCTTTAGAATCTTGACTAGCTGTTTGTCCTAGGTAATCTATTATTTTGGCAATTCTTACTGAGCCTTAGGAAGAAAAAAGGCAAATGAGTTTTGAAAGATGGGTTAAGAGTATTTCTTATAAGGGAGATGCTTAACTCTCTCAGGTTCCTTAGTCCCGGAAACGTGCCATGGAACCCCGGGGCCTGCTAAGGTGACGTGAATGGCAAGAGCTCTGCCTTGGATTGGAGCTGGAGTCAAATTCTGGCTCTGGAATGTAGCAGCTGAGAGGATTGGGGAAATTTACTTAGTCTCTTTGAGCCTGTTTTCTTATCTGTGAGATGGAGATGATAGATGTAGCTATGATAGATTATAGCTACATCTATCATCTCCATCTCATAGTTGTGAAGTTTACATTTGGATGATATAAGTAATTAATAATCAGTTGTATGTGGTGATCAAAATGCCACATTAGTTTTGTCTCTCATTCTTTCTTTAAAAAGCATTCAGTGAAGCAAGTTTTTTCTCTGTCCAGATGAAATTTCAGTCTTAAGTACTCTGATTTTTAGGGGGAGAGGGAATCAGGGTAGAGAGGTCATTCTTAGATACAGTCAGTCCTACTGTCGCATTCACAGATTAAAATCATCCAGACTAAGTTACTAATTGAGACCAATGTTCTTTAAGCATAAGACATCTCTTTTATTTCTAAGGCCTGCCTTGGGCTCTCCGCTTTGGGGGAGGGAGTGTGGGGGAGGGGAGGAAATAGGTAGAAGATTGATGAGGTGGAGAGTCGTCCCTCAAGTAGGTAAATATAGAACATTGTATAAGAAAAGTCTTGTAATTAGGAGAAGGGGATTGTTGAAAAGAAAACTGAATAACTTTAAATAGAGTATTAATTGAATGGCAAATGTCATTTGGCAGTGATAGAAAATATTGGGAAGAAAAAAATATTAATACAATTATTTAAAGAGATGACTTTTATTCCTTATTTGTAGTAGAATTCAAAAGAGAGTTAGACAGCCAACAAGAATGCCTATATCTCATTTTCCTTCACTAACACTCTAAACTTTCACATACCTCAACCTGGAAAGGCCTCCTATGATGGTTTTTTACTGGTATCTATCCAACTAAGCCATGGAGGCCTGGTTATTTGGTCAAGTATTATTCTGGCTGTTTCTGTGACAGTGTTTTGAATGAGATTAATATTGAAATTGGTAGACTAAGTAACACAGATTGTTGTCCTGAATAGAATAAAAAGAGATAATTCTTCCTGCCTGACTGCCTTTGGTTGGGTTGGGACATCAACTTTCCTCCTGCCTTTGGACTTGAACAGAAACAGCAACTCTTCCTGGTTCTGGAGCCTGTTGGCCTTTGGACAGGCATCAGCTCTCCTGGCTGTCATCTGGGAGACCTTGGACTTGGACTGGAGCTACACCAATGGCTCTCCAACTTGCTGACTCACCATGCAGATCTTGGGACTTGCCTGCCTCTATAATCATGTGAGTAAATTCCTTATCACAAATCTCTTTATAACACACACACACACACACACACACACACACTATGGGTTCTGTTTCTCTAGAGAACCCTGATTAACATAATTCCCATCTCCCTTCAGTGGAGCTTCCTTATTCTCTTCAGGGAAATAGTTCCTTAAAACCTGCCCAAACAGAGAGGTCTTCTAGGAATAAATAAGCTTACTCACCCTAGCAATATAATTAAATGTTCATGCAAATATTTTACTACAAGAATGTTCATTATGCTATTTATAATAGGGAAAAATATAATATTCAATTGAGACAGATTGGTTAACTATAATACTTTACCAATAACCATCCAAAAATGTATAGCATGCAAAGAAAATTTGTTGACACAGAGAAGTCTTCAAAATTATTAAGTGAGAAAAAGCAATTATAAAATAAGTCTGGAAACATGCTTATACATACTTAAGAAGTATGTTGTACATAGCTTAAGAAAAAGAAAAAAAAGACCCCAAAATATCTTAAATCATTTTCTGCAATCACATTGTGGTGGTGAGGTGAAGAGGCTCTAGGGTGTCCCTTTCATTCTGTCTCCTGATGTTTACACCCTTGTGTCGTCTCCCCCCCTAGAGTGTGGGCATGACCTGTGAGTTTCTTCTAACCAGCAGAACATGGCGAAGGAGATGGCACATACGTGGATGTGATTGCATGATTAAGTTACGTAAGACTGCAGTGCCTTGCTGGAGTCCCTCCCTCGCTGGCTTTGAAGAAGCAAACTGCTAGTTACGAGCTACTTAGGTTGAGAGGCCCAACTGGCAAGAAACTGAGGGAGGCCCCCAGCTGACAGCAGCAAGAATCTGGAGCCCTCAGTTCTGTACTACAAGGAACAAAATCCTGCCACCACATGTAGGTCATTCTCCACTGAGCCACGAATGAGACAGGCACCCTGGCAAACACCCTGATGGTAGCCTTGTGAGTTCCTTCACAGAGGACTCTGTGCCTAGGCTCCTGATCCACAGAAGCTGTGAGGGAATAAATGTGTGTTGTTTTAAGCCATCTAGTTTGTGGTAATTCAGCAACAGAGAAATAATACAAGTGGTTTGGGCATTGTTATTCGGAAACTATTGGGCTTGTGTTGTAGAATAAAGCAAAAAAGCACTTATATAGGTGTAATCGAGAACCAGAATTTTCTCTGGGTAAGAAAGGAGACACAGATGTAGAAGGACTAAGTAAAACTCCGATAGTGTTGATTTTGCGCTGGAAGAAATGTGACAAACTCATTTTATCTTCAAAAAAATGAAGTACTTCTTAGGTCCGACCACTGAAAAGGCCTATAGACAACAATCATCCCTTTTCACCAGCTTATTGTCCCTGTGTTATTTCTCATGAGAAGTAGTCATGGATCCTTGAAGAAATAGCTGATTCCAAAGTTGGCATAGGACCTGTACAAGATAATCCTAGAGGCTTTTATACCTGGGAAAGCAATGATGGGAACACGCCAAAGTATTAGTACATGCCAAAGTATTAGTACCTGGGGCATCTGTTTATACGAAGAAGGAATGAAATGCTCCTAAAAAGATGGAAACATACCAAACAGACATAAGAGCCAGCTTAAAGACTATCCTATTGGCCAACTCTGGAACAATTTGAACACCAAAATAAATAAAGATTGCAACAGATTATAATCCGTTGAATAATAGAAGAATCCAGAAATTCATAGTGATATTAATCCAATAATTAGGGAGAAGATAAAACCTTTTTGGGAGATTGACAAGTAATACATCTAAAAAGAATAGTGGAGATAGAAAAATTTCTATTTGGCAACTATCATAGTAGTACTTGAATTAGGCAAGAAATATCAATGGATGTTATGTTTCTGATCACCAATTCCAATGTGTGGGCTTTTCCCTCACACATTCAAGCAATTCTTGGATACCAACTGGGTGTCCTACAATTTAACTCAATTCTGACACTACCTACCGGGTGATAGTATCAAATCCCACAAGTGAATGGCTCAGTTCTTCAGGACTAACCCCCCACCTTTAGATGTCAATTGCAAGTCCAGGTTGTCACCTGTGTTTCTGACCAACCAGATACAGATTGGAGGTTCTAACCTCCTCCCCCTTGGGTTTAGTTAATTAATTTGTTAGAGTGGCTCACATAGCTCAGAGAAACATTTTACTTACTAGATCACCTGTTATTATAAAAGGATATAATTAAGGAACAGTCAGATGGAAGGTTATGGGGAAAGGGCCCAGAATGTCTATGCTCTCCCTGGCTTGCCATTCTCTCCAAATCTCTCTGTTTGTTTACCAACCTGCAAACTCTTCAAAGCCTCTCCTTTTGGCTTTCTACAGAGGTTTAATTACACAGGCATGACTGATTAAATTATTGACCATTGGTGACCGAACTCAATGTCCACTCCCTCTTCCCTCCCGCAGAGAGTAAGGGGGTGAGACAGAAATGTCAACCCTCTAATCATCTTGTTGGTTCCTCTGGCAATCAGCCCCCATCCTTAGGTGGGTCTAAAGTCACCTCATTAACACAACAAAAGAAAGCTTTATTGCTCTCATAACTTAGGAAATTCCAATGGTTTCAGGAGCTGTGTGCCAGAAATGAGACAAAAACAAATATATATTTATTATTATAAATCAAAACATCATAGATGCTAAAACTAGTGAGTGAAAGCGATGCTGTATAAGCAGCTAGTTATTAATAATAGGAAAGGAGCAAAGGGAAGGCCTGGCATAGGCAAGTCATTTGGGCAGCTTCACCAGGAAGTTGCAATTTCACACTCCCCAGCCCTTTCCCTGCAGATCAATGGGGGAGGGGTCCAACAAAGGATAGACCCACCCACAGTGACATTAGTGTAACTAGGGAAGGTGCTGGTCAGTCAAACCTGGAGACAGAGAGTGTTGGCCAGGATGGGCATGGCCATTGCAAACCCGGGAAAATTTGGGAATACATAATCCCCAAAACAAAGGAATTCTTTCTCTTGTTACTTTTGTGGCTCATGACTCTTGGCTCATGGGATTCTCTCATTCCTGCTTCCTTGCATTTGCCTGTATGGCCCACAGACGTGCAGACCCCACATGCAGTGGACTAATGGACTACAGTGGGAACACACAAACTAAACCAGCCTTGTTGCTGGATTGGACATGGCTCCAATATGGAACAGAAACTCTGGACACTGACTCTGATTCTAGCCCTATGAAACCACAGCTACCCTTCTTTTGTGGCAGGATTGAGGGAGAGGGGACCTTGGAAACTCAGGAACACAACTCCACAGGGAAAAAAAGCTTTCTACAATACTGCATCCTCCCGTGGGGGCCTCCAGAAATTCTTATTTCAGCAGTACCCCCAAGAACCCCATTTCCATCGGTAACAAAACTTTGATGAGAAACAGGATAACTACATCAACAAAGTATCTTCCCATCAATTACATATTAATTACAAAGTAAAAATAGTAATTTTACAATGGGACAACCGCAGACACCACACTAACCAAGGAATCACAGTTTAAAATCCTGATCTATCGGACTGAGAAGAACACATCACTCTGCAGTGTCTGCAGAAATGTGTGACCTGGATAATCAAGAGGAAATATCAGACCTTCTACAACGTAACTGGCCTACACTCTTCAAAACACTCAAGGTCACAAAAGACAAGGAATCCGAGGAACTGCCAGATGAAGGAGACTAAAGAGATGAGACAATTAAATACAAAAGTGATTCTGAATTAGATCCTGGACCAGGACACAAAAAAAACTCTAAAGTACTTTATTGGGATAAGTAACAAAACTTGAATATACAATTTTGAATTAGATCATGGCATTGTATCATTGGCAAATATCCTGATTTTGATCATTGTTCTGTGGTCATGCAAGCAAATGTCCTTTTGTGTAGAAAATATATACCGATGTACTTAGAGGTAAAAAAAAAAAAAGCCACAATTTATTCTCAAGTGATCAGAAACAATCAAGCTTTTATCCTACCTCTCCTTTGATTAAGGAGACTCAGGACAGCCCAGCAGTCGATGAAGCAGGGGAGAGTTTCTCTTATAGACTATTCCAGCTGACAAATTAGGAAGGATGATATAATGTCATCGTTTGCAACACCCAATACAAGAAGAGATTTGAGCCTCCATCATCAATAGTTTTGCCTTCTGATAAAAATATGTAATCTATGTAGAATTCTTGCCAAAAATAAATAAACAAACCAAAGTTTTATCTGATCAGACTCTAAATATAAGGGACAGAGAAACAGGCTAAGACTGTTTCCACAGTCACACAATCACCAAAATTCAGATTAGGGAACTCTGAGACAAAAGAACCAGGTTCATTAACAAATAACTTAAACACAATAAAAATGAGAGATGGAAAGGGAGCACTGATATAAGCCACATAACTAACTACTATGAACAAACCTTTCTTGGATATTGATTTGAACAATTAAACTGTTACAGAAAAATTAAATTTCTCGCCAGGCCAGTGTGGCTCATTGGATTGAGCATCCTCCCATGGACTGAGAGGTCCCAGTTCAATTCCTGGTCAGAGCACATGCCTGGTTGTAGACTTGATCCCCAGAAGGGGGCATGCAGGAGGCAGCTGATCGATATTTCTATCTCTCTCTACCTTTCTCTCTCTCAAAAAAAATCAAGAAAAACATATAAAAAATAAATTTCTCACACAAGTGAGAACTTTCAAATACTGACAAGATATTCAATATTAAGAAATTATGTTATAGTTTTAGTCATAATAACATGGTAGTTGTGTTTGAAATCATTCTATTTCAGAAATATGTATTGAAATATTTGCAGATGAAATATTGTAATGTTTTGGATTTGTCTCAAAATAATCTAGAATGGAGAGGAAAATGGGGCGGGGGGAATATATATATATATATATTCCAAATAAAACAAAACATATTGACAGAGGAAATTGTGGAAGGTTATAAAGCAAATCACTAGGAAGAAAGATCATGTCTTCTTTTAGACTTCTCTTTCCCTTATTCACTTTCATTTATATATACATCAAATGACAAAGAGTATTCTTTAAGAAATGAATGGATATTTGGACATTGCACAAGATGATTTAAATTAATTTTAGTGTGAATGTAGACCAACCCAGTTGAGACCAGATGCTATATTAGGCTCTAACTTTTTGAAATATTTAATTATAAATTGGGATAATTAAATTGCTATCCCACTGATTAATGATCACAATCTGTGAGCACTGGCAATGTTGTAGGTTTCAAAAGGATCCTTTAATATCATTTGTTTAACTAGAAATATGAGTCCAATATATATGCCTCTGGGCATTTCCACTTATAACCTACTACTTAATATGGCCTCTTTTTATCAACATGCTTTTAAATAACTTTAATTAAGATCTAAGCATAGGTTTGCTGGTGGCTCAGTGGACTGAGCATCACCCCATGGGCTGAGAGGTCCTGGTTTGATTCTTGGTCAGGGCACAAGCCTGGGTTTTGGGCTTGGTCCCCAATGGGGGGATGTGCAGGAGGCAGCTGATCAATGTTTCTCACATCAATGTTTCTTTCTCTCTCTGCCTTCTTCTCTTGCTCTAAAAAAATCAATAAAACCATAATTTTTTTAAAATCCAAGCATGAAACCAAAACCAAAAAACCAAACAACAAATCACTAACAATGGCCACTCCAGATAATTGGATTACTGCCGGTTTTCTCCTTTCTTTTTATCTATATACGATTCACTGTACTACAGTGAGTATGAATTATTTACGTACTAAAAATTACTTGTGGGCATTTTTAAAAGAACACATCTCTTTTAAAAAAGCAGAAGTGAAACTCTGAAATGAAAACTTTTGAGCTAAACAAGTATGTGGTTTTATACATTTTGAAGTATACATTTCTTCTGTGGCAACACCATTTCCCTCTCAAGTGCAAGGACCTGCTGAACACCACAACCATGTGAGCAGATACTGTCCAACATACCTCTGTGCTGTGTGTCACACGCCTGAAAAACACTCGTGAAGAACTCCTCACAGGTCCTGCCAATGCTGTGCGTGACGTCTCCCCCGCTGCCTTCAGCTCCCAACTTCCATCCTGTTAGAAGGAAAGGCTTGCAAATCCAAAAATGCTTTTCTGGGCCACAATGATTAACTAATTCTTTTGTTTTAATTTTAACAAAGAAAACATCTGAGTACCCAGCCTACAATACTGGTTACTTAACTTAAACAGACCAAGCAAAACAGTGGTCTTGAAGGTCTACTATTTGTTTTTTTCTTTAATTTATACGTTTTATAAAAGTAGGAAAAAACACTCGGCCAGTGTGGCTCAGTGGTTGAGCATCGACCCCTGCACCAGGAGGTTGCTGGTTTGATTCCCGGTCAGGGCACATGCCCAGGTTGTGGGCCAAATCCCCAGTGGGGGCCATGCAGGAGGTGGCCAGTCAATGTTCTCTCTCATCCATGTTTCTATCTCTCTCTTCCTCCCCCTTCCTCTCTCTCTAAAAATCAATCAAGAAAAAAAATAAATTAAAAAATAGGAAAAAAGGAGAGGCAATGACAGGGAAATGAGCTTTTCTTGCCCTGTAATAGTAAAAGCACTCTGTAAGAAAACAAGTAGTATAACAGAGAGAAACACAGAGGGAAAGAAGACAGCTATAGAGTGTGTCATTTTACACGGTTTTGTTTTGCAGTGCCTAGCATGTATGCCACTCTGTCAGCAATCCCCGGGAGTTCCCAAAACTTCCACTGAAATTGGCCTGTGAAATTTACATTCTCCCCTGGCCTGATTTATTGGCTGTACTTGGAATCCACACTTTCTCCTTACATGTTTTACTCACTCACACAAAAAAATTGCTAAAATGGTCATTTTCAGCAAAGCACCTGAGAACCATATGAATTTTAATTCCCCTGTATCTATATATTCTTATCATGACATTCTAATTTTTCCTGAAGAATGTTTTTCAGGTCATTAGAGAAATGCCAATGATTATGATTGTAAATATAATCTAGAATTTCTATCAGGTTTTTCATTGACATCATAGAAAATACTTTAATTTACATATAAACTTTTCTTTTAAGATCTAAACAACAACAACAAAACTTAAAAAGGGAAAGATGGGTGTTTCCAACCAAGCTTTAACCATGTAAATCGTTTTGTTTGTTTTAGTTCAGGTATTCTGAAAGTGACATGCTTATTGCTTTATTGAAAGAACATTAAAAGGTGAATATTTACCATCTTCATTCAGAGACCCCTTTTTCACCACTGAATCCGGAGGAGTAAAAATGTCAGAACTTTGATCAGAGGTGGAATCAAAGTCAGGTTTTAAGATACTAAAATGATTTCCACTATGATAAGTAGCCAAGTCCTTGGTGGAGAAGGGGTCCCCCTTTCCGATCTGTGATACCAGCGATGTGTGATTCTGGGAGCCCTGCCATCTCAGCCTTGAGATCTTTTCAGAGCTTGTGAGGGTAGAGCATGCTGCATCCTCGGGGGGGCCGAGATGAGAGCCGGACGGGGTGCGTGAAGACACTGTTTGAGGAGATGGAATGAAGGCGGCGTCCTTCTCAGAACCTGAGAAGTGAGTGCAGGGTGTGGGGACGTAAGCGGCAGTCATTTTCTTCAGTACCTCTTCAAGATCCTTCCTGGTGTTAGTCTGCGGACTCTCAAAACTGCTGGATTGGTATTTGATGATCTGTTGGCTCGGATTTGAAAGCTCTTCTCTCTTTCGGATGGCTCTGATTTTTCTGCAGATGCTTTCCACCGGGTTATGCCTCTTCTCAGTCACCTTCCTTGCAAAGGCCATTGTTGACGGTCCTCCACTTTTATAGGTGAAATGGCTAAAGTACAGGCAAAATTAGACATGCGTTTTAGAATTAGCATTGCCCTAACAACTTAGCCATAGGCTACTTATTCCTAACTCAACTTTGGAGATATCAAGGTATCTTTATTATTATTATTTTTTTTATCCTCACCCGAGGACATTTTTCCATTTTTTGTTCAGGTAGAGTGGGAGGGGGAGAGAGGAACAGAGAGAGAGAGAGAGAAACATCGATGTGAAAGGAACACATCAAGTGGCTGCCACCCGCACAACCAACCAGGGCCGGGGACAAACTGCAACCGAGGTACGCGCCCTTAGCGGGAACCGAACCCGGGTCTCTCAGGACCGCAGGCCGACGCTCTAACCGCTGAGCCAAACTGGCCAGGGCTATCAAGGTATCTTTAAATAACTGTCCTTAAACAATTGCTTTAAACAGCCTCCCATGTATTTAACTTTGGCACTCAAATTTCTAGAAAATATTAAGTCAACATGCGTAAAATACTTACCACATCAGGCATGGTACTAAGTTCTTTATACATATCAACTCATTTCATCCTCAACTCTAGGAGGTAAGCATTACTATCATCTCCATATTCAGGCAGAGAGAGAAAAAGGGACACACCCAAAGTCACCCAGTTAAATGCCAGGGTCCAGTTTGAAACCAGGCAGTCCTGCTGTAGAAGCTGGACTCCTAACCATACTGCTTTCCATTAATAATTACATGGCGAAGATGATGATGGTGAGGATGCTAACAGCCTCTATTGAGCACCTGCTCAGGTTCTCATCCACTGAGAACTTCCTAAACATGCCCTATATCAGGTTTTACACATGTTATGTCTAAACTTGATACACACCCTGTCAGATATGTGAAAATATCCTTTTTGTTTGTTTGTTTTTATAGTTTATTAATTTTTAGGAGAGAGGAAGGGAAACGAGAGAGATGTAAGACGGTAACACTGATTGGCTGCCTCCAGCATGCCCCTGACTGGGAATAGAGCCCACAACCTGAGCATATGTGCCCTGACCAGGAATCGAACTGGTGATCTTTAGGTTCATGGGACAGTGCCCAACCAACTGAGCCACACCAGCCAGGGCAATATCCTCTTTTTAAAGATAATAAAACTGAGGCTCTAAAAGATCAAGTCACTTGCTAATGGTCACATCTCTAAGATTCGAGCCAAAGGGTGTCTGACTCTAGCATAATTTTATTAAATGGCAGGAGATATGACCTTAAACAGATGACTGCTCAAACCCAGAAGCACAAATATGGAGAAGGGGGGAGAAGGCCGGAGGGGTTAAACAGGGGCAGGGGATTAAGAGGTACAAATTTCCAGTTATAAAAGAAAGAAGTCATGGGAATGTAATGTGCAGCATAGGGAACAGAGTAAATAACATCGTGTTAACTTTGCAAAGTGACGGCACTAAACATACGGTGGTGACCGCTTTGCAATGTATACATGTCAAATCACTATGTTGTATACTCAAAACTATCAATATTGTATGTCAATTATATCTTAACAAAAAAAAGAACTTCTTATGAGACAGTAATTAAGGAATTTGGAAGTAAGCCCCAATTTTTTTCTAAACAGATAAAATTTTAATTATGCTAGGCAAAGAGTTACAATAGTTGGAATAGTTACAAAGAGTTCAAAAGTTATGATTTTTAGGAACTTAACAAAAATTTGCACTCATAGAAATTTAAGGGAAAAAATTTCCTAATAGAAAATTAGCAAAAGCTACAAAATTTTTAGAAGAGCTATAACTGCAGGAGGTATTTAGAAAGACTGAGAAGAAGAAGGTATTCGAAGTCCTCTTAATCTGTACTTCAACACGATGGCCATCAGCACTAGCCTGTAACATTTCCACCAACAGAATCCTTTACTATCTGAAGTAATAACCACTTTGAATGTTTTTGTTATCACTTGACTACACCCTTCTTTCTGTGTATTCAAGGTTGTCTTTCAGTGCCAAGTCTAAAACACCTTCCTCTGTTCAGATCCTGGACTCGACTCTTTCTGTTCTCTCCTAGGGTGTGTAGACACTATTTTGTCATTCAAATGTTGTCTTCTATTATTAGATTGTTTCATATGTGTATGCATGTTGTCTTCTCAAAAACACTTAATTTTTGTATTCAAAAGTCATGATGTCATTCTTTTCTAGACGCTCAGTGACTTATTATTATTGGTATAATGAATAGTCCACAATTGTATAACATGTAATGACCAGGCTGGTGGACTTGTCCCCCAGCTGCAGTGAGTGTTGGCTCTCAACGAAGCAGCTGCCCCTTTACTGGAGAAGGCCCCTGGCCATCAGGACCTGCTCCTTGCTCAGCTGGGAGGTTGGACGGGAAGTATGGCAACAACAGAAGAGATTTCGCCTGTGAACACAACGCATTCCAACTCTACGGCTGACCAGGGCGGTGATACAGCTGGAGCCATCTGACTGCCCCAGGTCAAGTGAAGAGCCCTGTAAAAGACTGGCGAGGTGTCTGTCGGGGTTCTCAATGTGATGTGGCTGTGTTTCCCTTCGAGAGCTGGAGAACTGAGGCACAGGCTAGCAGGGGGCTAACTGAAGCCTTGGAATAGGAACCTCAGACTCCCAGATGCTGTCTGCTCTCCGTGTTGGACATTGATGTGATGTCCAAGCCACAGTGAAAGACCCCACTTTGTGGGCCTCTGTGACTGATCCAAATTAGTGTTACTAGCATATAGCACATGCTTTTCTATTTGCTTTTCCAAGGCATTTTTCTCTTACCATCTGTTTTCTGAAATTCCGTAACTCACCTAAGTGAGCCTGCTCCACAGTTTATAAACTAAACCTTATAAAGAGTACACTTGATACACTAACTGTGAGCTAACAAAACTTCACAAGATGAGCTTGTTTTTCTTTTTTCTAATACAGAGCAGAACATTTGTGGGAGTGCAATAAATGCAATGTGATAAGAATTTCAGATTTAAGAAAATTTTTTTTCTTTATTGACTTTAGAGAGGAAGGGAGAGGGAGAAATAGAATCACGGATGAGAGAAAACATGGATTGGCTGCCCCACTGAGGACCAGGCCCACAACCTGGGCATGTGCCCTGGCCAGGAATCAAACTGGAGAACTCTCGGTGCATGGGTCAATGCTCATGCACTTTGGCTACACCACTGAGCCACACCAATCAGGCAAGGATTTCAGATTTTGTGTTGCCTTCTCATATATGGCCTGGAAACATCTCCTGTCTGTCCTGTCCAAACCTCTTTTCAGTCATAGATCCTCACAGAAAAATTAGATGCAATCTATCGAACACTGAAAAATATCAGTCTGCCTTGATTTATGCAATAACTGTCTTTGAAAAAGTATGAACTGGAAATTAAAAACTGAAAGTTAATTGTACCAGCAGAATCAGTTGCTTGGAGTCTCTCTTTTAAAGGAATTTCCTCTCTATTTATCCTTTAGTTTATTGAATACGTACTATATAAAGATGGTACACTAGCAGAAACCCCAATGGCAAGGCTCTTGTTTTTAAATTCTTTGACTCTTCGTGCCCCTCCAGTGATTCATCCCCTTAGGCACTCAGCCAATACTTAGTATCTAACGTGTGTGAAACCCTGTGCAGATACTGGAGGTACAGTCATGAGCAAAATAGAGTATCTGCTCTCCTAACACTTGTGGTCTATGAAGATACAGATATGAACAAGTATGCTGGCAGGATTACCAGATTAAATCCAAGATGCCCAACGAAATTTGAATTTCAAATAAACAGTGGCTAATTTTTTTTTATTATGTCATAAAAGTTACACAGGAAAAACTTATATGGAAAATTATTTGTTGTTTATCTGATACTCAAATTTCACTGGGCATCTTGTTATTTTGTCAGCTAAATCTAGCAACCCTAAAGCCTACAGACAAATAAATAATTACATACTGGGAAAGAAAGTGCCAGGGGTTATGAGAACATATAATAGGGAGTTATTCTAGTTTGGCAGCAAAGACAGAGAAAAATTGGGGAGCGTCTATTATGTGTCATGCACTGCATAATGCTATACATATTGTTAGCTAAATTCATGGTTATAAACAGAAAATTAAAAAGTGGAACCATAAATCTGCTATAGGAATTCCCATTAACTAAATGTAATATAAAATAATGTTAGATATTATCTGAACCAATTATTTCACTAATCTTATTTCTCCTATTGATTGAACTATGCCCCAATGTTTTTATTTCTAGAATCTGAGTCCTGTCATTATTATTGCCTGAATTGCCTTGTTGTATGTAGTAAAAGCTCTTGAATCAACAATTGTCAACCATCTTCTTGATATAAAACTATAAAGCAATAATTAAAAGCCTCTGACGCATGGCAGCATAAAAGAAGTGTGATTTGTTTCTTATCTTACTTAAACTTTGGCCACTTGTAACATATCCAGTTTTTACCTGGATGTAACTGCAGCATTCAACATTAACCTCTAAGAGCCCTGGTTCAGTGGTTGAGCATTGACCCATGCACTATGAGGTTGCTGGTTCAATTTCCAGTCAGGGCATATGTCCATGTTGTGGGCCCGATCCCCAGTGGGGGGGCACGCAGGAGGCAGCCAATCCATGTTCTCTTAATTGTTGTTTCTATATCTCTCCCTCTCCCTTCCTCTCTCTCTAAAAAAATAAAGAAAACAAAAACAAAAACAAAACATTAACCTTTAAGAGTTGTGCACTCTTTGAGACTTACAGAAATCTACAATTGTTTTGACTTCCTAAAGGGGTAGTCAGTAGGTTAGAATAAATATACCATGTGTGTACAATGTAGACAATATTTCATATTGTTAGGCACATACGAAGAACATAAGAGCATTATTTGTGTTTTTCAATATCAATATTCTTCAATCACTACGAAAACTGTTGCATTTCTTTGCAAAGAAAGACACAAGATTTATACAGAGACACAAAAGTAGCATCCTTGAAAAAGTTAGCCGATTTCAGGGTGGTTCAAAAAGATCTTTAGAGAGCCGGA